AGCCCCAGCACTGAAAAAACAAAGTATAAAATTGCCTGTAGGTCACATATATAATATAAGGTGTACATGAAACATAAGTAAATTCCATGCTTACATTTGGGTCCCACCCCTAAGAAATCTCATGTATATGCAAATATTACAAAATCTGAAACACTCATGGTTCCAAGTGGATAAGGGATATTTAACTTGTGTTGGAGCCAAAATATGCAATGGATGCTAGGAAGGCAAAACTAACAGATGAAAGGAAGCGGAGAAAGGCCCTAATGATTAGAGGGAAGTGTTAAAACTTTTCAGTGGCTTCATTGCAAGCAGATGTCAGCATTTTATTATAGTCTTGCTTCAAGTGAGAACCTACTGGGAAGTGGATTCAGATTAGAACTTGGTTAGGGACATTCTCAAAAAAATTATCATTACACCCTCATCTTGAAAGCAGAATTTTGGATGCAAGGCTTAAACTCCTAGGATTCCACATGCCAGGTCCTGCCATTTGCCCTGATGTGCCAAATAGAGGCATGGTGAAGGCAGAGAAAGGAAGTTTATTACACGGCTTGGGACATGCCATGGGAAGAGGCAGAATAAGCACACAGCTCATCTTCAGCCATCTTTGGGATACAGGCATGAGCTAAAGGTTTTAACAGAGAAAGAACTGGGGGTAGAAAGAGAGAGGTAAGGTATACAATAAACAGTTCCAGTCACAGGTGTGGTTTGGTTGGTCATTATCTCAATCCTTGTTCTGGGAGAGGTTCCAGAGCTGTTACCTGGAGGGTCAGGCAGTTATCCTGAGAAAGCTCTACTGTTGGGGATAGTTTCCAGCCCTTGTCATAAAGATGTTACTTATCATTCCTGTCTTTCCTTGACTCCAAGGTGACTGCAGGAGAGAATGGCTCAGAGCAAAAGACAACAGGTACAAAATGGAGACAGAGATGCCAGGCTTTTCTCCTGTGTTTCACTAATTCATGGATCCAAGTGAGGAGTCAGTGCTTTCAGCAAAAACAGTTTAAGCACCTCTTACAAGCTTAAGGAATAAGTTTCTTAATTTTAAGTCTACAGCTTGATCAATGTTTATGTATCAAGACATCCATGTACCCAGCAACCCAGACTAAGATACAGAACATTTACAGACCACAGAGAGCTCCCTCAGGAGGCCTCCTAGGCAACACACCTCCACCCCACCTCAGACAAAGGGAGCCGCTCCCTGACCCTCTGCCTTGGTGGACAAGATTAAAAAGAATCTTCCATTAAGGACCTCTGAAATACTGACAAATGATATGATAGTTATATACGAGGTCATATGAACAATTCTTTTTCGTAGGCAGGTGCTCTACCACTTGAGCCACTCTGCCAGCCCAATTCTTAAAGCATTTTATCAGGGATGCCAATTTCTTTCCAGAAGGAAGTTCATGTAGAAAGAGTTGGTCTCAGACCACAGCTGGAATAATTTTCCTTTTAGGGGGCAAGAGTGAAGAATGGAGGGGATCCAGGACCAAGCCCCCACACTTATTCCCGATGCCCACAGCCTACAGCTTTGGATATGGAGACAGACATCCTTTGCCTGACAGCCCCTACACTGAGGGTGAGGACAAGTGGGCAGTGTTTGATCTGCAGTGCTTGCCTCTCCAGCTCCCATAGCCACCTCAGCGAAGTGGGCACCACAGGAGTAGTCTGGGCTCAGCCCTGCCCTCCCTCCCCAGGCCTGCGGGTTCAGAGCTCTGAGGCATCACTCTGTTTCTCCTGCTGGTTAGTGTCACAGCTGATTGTCACAAGTGACTGTGCAGTGGGGCGCAGGCTGTAAGAAACTTCCAGAAGGGGGTCTTGGGTGCTGTCTTTCAGGATTAGTGGCTTGCATTTCAGTTAAATAAAGATCCTGCTCAGTTCGTGTTGGTAGAGACAGACTTGGATTTCTCCAGAAGGTTCTGGTGGAAATATCTCTGGTTTCATTTGAGCTCTTATCAGCCAAGAGGTGGGTTATTGGTTGCAATTGGCAGCAACTGGGTAGCATTAACTTTAACAGAAACGGGAAATTTATTAAAATAATATGAAGATGTCTCCAAGAAGGAGCATCGCACTGGGCTTTGGGAAGATCTGGTGGGGGCAGCTGGAAAAGCCTTAGGATTTCTCTATAGCTTTGGTCTTCTCTGTCATTCTTTTTCTGTGTGCTGGCTATCTGTACCTCTCCAATCCATGTCACAGAGCATGGCCACCCCAAGCCTCCCTTCCTCTTTAGTTCCAGAGACTAATTCCAACCCAATTTATGAACAAATCAATAACTCATTATGCCTGAGTTCCAATTCTCCAGAAACAGTATGATTGGAGCGATCTGAATCCATGGTTGAGGGTATGGGGATTGGTGGGTGGGAGGGTAGGGATGCACAGCACAAAGCTGCTACCAAGCACCCACTCTCTCAACAAGTTGCAATTCTAAAAAAAGTGGGACTGGACAGAGATTCTAGCAATCATTCTCTGCTTTGGGGATATTTTCCTTTGGAAAACCCAGCATGCAGTTCACAAACAAATAGTCCCTCCTGGTACTGAAACACCATGTCTAGACTGACACCTCTGTTGACTTGAATCACTAGTCCTTATTCAGCTCTGAACCCCTGCTATGCCCAGTCCCTGACCTCTCTATAGATGGCTGCTTCTGTATTTTTAAAAGTTACTTTTAAAGCAACAAACTTTCCCAGAATGATGAAATCTTTGCATATCATTACATATGTTACAGGTGCCCAGAGAAAAAACAAAACAAAACAAAAAACAGACTGAGGAGTGATTGAAGGGAAGGAGAAAGATGGACTGCCTAAATGTTAAGTGTGTACCAACTGGTACCAGCAGCTTGAATTGTGGCACTGAAAAGTGTAATCAAGTCAACATAAAACCAGAATTCTATTTACAAAAGTGTGGTTTACATGGCTTGCTAGGCATGTGTCCAAGCCTGCAGTGAACGTGCTGCCTGGTCACCCAAGCAAGTGGGACCAGGTATTGTCTCACCATGTTGAGCTGAAGCAGTGGGGGCAGGAAGGAAGATGGTAGAGAATAATAAAGGGAACAGCAGATATGAGGAAGATTTGAGGATTCTTATACCAACAAATGTGAAAAAACAAGTGAAGTGCTTTGTTTCCCCAAAACAAAAACATCAAAATGAACTCAGGAAGAAGTGGAAAATCTAGGAAAAAGTGAGAAAAGAAACTGTCAAAAGTCACATGTTTTGGCAACATTAAGTAAAATGGAAAACACATAAGATTGTGTACTTCCATTTCTGGTATGTACGCTAGAGGCATATCCACAGGCGCACAAGGACCTGCGTGCTAGGATATCTCCTGCCATATTGTGTGCAATGACAGTCAGAAACAGCTTCAATACCATTTGAATGGAATGAGTTAGCATAAGAGAACTCAAAAACAGAATGCTAAAGAAAAGTCAAAAACGGAAGGTGGAAGGAAGAAAAACAAGTTTAGAATGACATGTGTACAATCCTACTATATATTGTCCGTGGATATATATATGTGTAACTATACGAAGTTACTGACAGCTACACACCTATAAGCAAGGGGATCATAAGTGAGTGAGAGTGTCCATGGCGCTGGTGCAGTCTGCGATCCAGACACCTTCCAAATTCTTTATATCCCACTGGGAAGAATCCATGGCAGATCACATGGGTATAAGTGGAGTTTATTAAAAGTTAGGGAAGAGAAACACAAAGGGAAGCATGGTAGCTGGAAGCCAAGAGCAAGTGTTTCTGCTCTTCAGGTGCTTTTAAAACCTACCATAACCTATGGGAAGGGGAGAACCAGGTGACTCCCATCCAATAATCAGTAAGTGGGACGGGGCATGCGTGGTTCCAGGCTAGGTGAGGGTAGTTCCTGAGCCAAAGCGTGGTTAATCTAAGATGTAATTTTTTTTTCTACAAGTCCCGAACTTTCCCTACTTCAGCCTACCTCAAGAGGGCTTTATTTTTATTTGTACTGTAATAATTTTTTTTCTGGAGTTCAAGGGCTGAGAATAACGCAGTAATTTTTATTTGTGATAGTCTAATAGAGATTTCAGTGGATTTTAAAAAGGGCAAGATATTTCTATATTACCTGTGTAACTTTAAATAAAATGTATATATGTGTGCAGGTATACATATATATGAAAAGGATTGGAAAAATCATGATTTTTTTTTTCCTTGTACTTTTCTCAGTCTTCAAATGTCTATATGCATTAACATGGACAGATATTTAAAATAAAGTCTGGTGAAAACCAGTCAGTTGCAGATGTATGTTAATACTAGTATGATAATATTTAACAGTCCATAGACAATAAAAACAAAGCTATTTTCCAGAGAAATATATATTCACATGAACATATCCAGGCGTATCCATATAAATTGACAACAGAAGATATGGAAGGATATAAACTCAACTGATGAAGTTCACTTCTGCAGAGGGGACTAGAATGGCAGGCCAAGTCAAGGACACTTGTGCCTTATCTGCAAAGTTTAGATTTTATTTGTGTTAATACAAGATTTTCCTGAGAGCCCTGCCCGGAGCTGAATGGGCGGTCACAGCCGGGCGCGGTCACGCAGGACGGTCTTTCTTCCCCACGCCCAACCAGGTCACGTGGGTCCTACTGGGTTAGGCAGACAGACAGGTTATCGTCCGTCTCGCTGTACAGATTCTTAAACTGCTTTTCAATCTGAGACCCGTTTGGAACAAGCCCGGATTTACATATCGGAGCAAAAGTTTGTTTTTAGATATATTGCATATTCCGAATAATTCTGTTGAGATCAGGTAAAAAGTTAAATGCATACACAAGCATTAAGTAGCTTCTTAGAAAAACCACTTGCCAGGCGGGTAGCGTGGCCGAGCGGTCTAAGGCGCTGGATTAAGGCTCCAGTCTCTTCGGGGGCGTGGGTTCGAATCCCACCGCTGCCAAGCTTGCTCCTGTTTTTTGTGCCCGTTGGGCCTTCGCTCCGGCTCCGTTTTGCATCCGCACCAGCGCCCCCTGCTGTGGGTCTTGCTCGGCGGAGGGGGCGGGCCCGCGCGCGCCGGGGCGGGGCATTGTGGGTAAGAGGAAGCGCGAGGGCCGGCCCGCTCCCCCCCACGTGTCCGCCGGAGTTTCTACAGCAGCAACATGGCCGCTGCCTGAGAGGAGAGCCCGACTGCCGCCGCCTCTGCAGCCCGCGGGTACCTGCTGGTTGCCGCCGCCCGTGCGCGGCCCCGCCGCAGAGGTGAGACCCTGTCTGACAGCGTCGGGGCTCGCCGTGAACCGCCGCCCTCCAAGGCGGGCTCAGGCCGGGTTCCCGAGTAGGCCGAGGAGGCCCGCGCTGTGCCGGGCCGCGGAGCCGGGGCCTCGCGGGACTCGGGCGGGGGGACGCGCCGACCGCCCCGGAGACCCCGGCCGCCCGCGCTGACTCAGGGTCCAGCCAGGCCGGAGCTCCTGTCCCGGGCGTCCGTGCCGGCCGGCGTGGCGCCGTGGGGCGGGCGCGAAGGGGGCTGACCCTCGCGACGGAGACCAGGCCTGTGGGGCAACGTGGCGGGCTCGATGGCAAGCACGGCCGCCCTCGCAACCTCCGGCTCGGCCGCCTCATTCATTTTTACCCCGGCGGCCACGGGGGCGTCGCTCACGGGCACGGTCGTGCGGGCCGTCAGCTTCCGAGTCGTTGGGCGTGGGACCAAAAGATCTGAGCAGTCCTCTCCGTGGCCGGTCTGTGAAATGGGGCAATAGGAGCCCTACTCGGGGTCTCTTCGACAGCCAAGGGAAAGCTCTTCGGTGTGGCTATGCCTCAGACCTTCGTATATTGAAAGAAAACACTCGCCACGTAATAACAAATCTTCCCATAGGCTGCATGTAGTCCCTATTTAATCCTCGCTGCAGTCCTGTGGAGGCTGGTACTTTCATTGTGCCCGTTTTGGGGATGAAAATAGGAAAGGATGCTCGTGTTAAGTAGTTCGTTGTAGGTCATAGGTGATTATCAGTAGAGGTGGGATTTGAACCTACTGAGTTTAGCTCCAGAGTCCAATCTCTTACCCACTGTACTATACTGCCTCTTGTCAGAGAGGTGTGCAGAAGGCTGGTTAAGAATAAGAACAAGCTTTTTGTATCACTTAGACACGGGGTTCTTGAGCTGGTCACACAGTTCTCTGGTGCTGTGACCTTGGGCAATTTACCTACTCTCTGAACCTCAGTTTCCCCATTTCTCCATTGGGGATGGTAAATCTTGATTTGTGTGGCTAATGAGCAGATTAAATTATTATCATCAATTTTTGATGCTGGGCATTGTCAGGTATTGGGAGAACAGCAGTGAATTTTAAAAAGTAATGATCCCATAACAACCTTAATGAAGTGTCATTACTATTTCCACGTTGTGGTTGAGGAAACTGAAGAACTGAGAAACTTTCATGGAGTTTACATGCTGGTGCAGGAGACAGCCAAACCCTAAGCTGGGATTGACCAGGAAGTTCCAGGTTGTGATACCAGCCACTCAGGAAATAACCCAAAGAGCTGAGGCAGTGCAGTGGTACAGGCCTATAATCTATTCAGGAGTAGAGATCGGGGGTATCTGGGTTCAAAGCCAGCCCTGGAGAAAAAGTTCACTGAGATCCCATCTCAACCAGTAAAAGCTGGCCATAGAGGCCTGGACCTTCCCCTGTGTGTCAGGGAAGTGCCAGTAGAAGGATAGCCCTCCTGAGAATAAACATGAGACCCTCTTTGAAAAACAAGCCTAAAAGAAGAACTGAGGGGTATGCCTCAGGTGGTACCGTGCCTGCTTAACAAATACAGGTCCTGAGTTCAAATCCCAGTACTTCCAAAAAGAAAAAGGAGCTGTGGGGTGACTGGAACCAGGGGTTGGAGGAGGCTTTTAAGGGCCGGGGGGTCCAGTCATGGAGTGGGTAGGAGTGCAAGAGTGCTTATGGCTAATGACAAAGGGTGATTGGAAAAGCCCTGGGGGAAATGGATACCGGGCAGAGGTCCTTAGGATAGGGAGGCAGGGGCAAGATCAAGTAGGGCCTTAGGGGCCATGGGAAAGAGTTTGGATATTATTTTATATGACAGTTGAAGGGTTTTGAGCAGTAGGTGGTGTGATTTACTTATTACAAGGACTGGCTTTTGCTGGGAGAACTGGTGTTAGGAAAGAGGGGCCTTAGTTCTTAGTTGGGGGCGTGTCAGATCCTTGCTCTTCAGGCTGTAGGTGAAGATTTATTTGTGGGATGTAGTCTTCTTAAAGGGATTATCACCAGCATTTTTATTTGAATGAACAAGGGTAGAAAACATCACTGCATCATGTATAGCAGGGTTCTGTGAAAACTTGCTTCAGTCACGCAATTGAGCATGTGTCCTGGTCCTAGATACAAAAAGAACTTCTTACCCTGGGTCTTAGGCTAAAAACTTAGAAAGCCACTCACTGAGGAGAAGCTGAAGGGAGGTGACCACCGGTTACTTTGCAGTAACCGAATCAGATGTGGGATCCAGGGGGAAGTATGGCAGCCCTCCCCCCAGAAGACACCTTGTACTCCCATTTCCCAGGGCTGCGTGAAGGCCGCACCCTCTCAGTGTGCACTCTGTTTTCCTTGTTCACTTAGAAGTAAGTCCCCAGTCTCAGTTGGCCACAGAGCCAGCTGGGGGACAGAAGATGGTTGCCATGCATATATCTGTGGAGCTGGGGGATGGTGGTGTGCACGCCCTCTTTCTGTACAGTAACACAAGCCTTTTAAACTGGTCAACTTGATGGTCTGGACTTTGACCCAACTCCCTATTCCTGGACAGAATGATGGCCTGTTTCTGCCACTCTCAACATTCTACCGCTCCAGACCTTCAGTGCTCAAAACTTTTATGTAGCTTTCTATTAGCATCCTAGTGGTCCATTTTTTTTCAAACTACAAACAGATACTGCATGCTTGCTGTGTGCTAAGCACTGGAGGCACAGCAAGGGAAAAATAGTCTAAAGTAAAGCCCGAGTAAAACTTGGTGGCAGTGGGGACAGATAGAGACCACCACAAATTGTCTCCTGGTGATACATTTATGGAGAAAGCCAGAGCAGAGAAAGGGGCACTTTGGAGTTTTGAATGCAACAACAGACATGGTCTTAGGGATGAGTGACATTTGAGTAAAAACCTAAAAAAGGTGCAGGAGGGAGATGTGAGGTTGTCAGAATAGAGCAGTTGCTCAGGCCCAGAGGTGGACTGGGAGGGAACAGAAGGGTCAGAGGCTTCTGGGGACAGGGTCTGAGAGGGAAAAGGGGTGGAGGGTTTTTCCCTCATGTGGGATGATGGAGGCAGGGTCTGAGCAAGCCCTCAAAGGCTCTTGTGCTGAGTGGCACCATCTGATTTAGCTTGCTAATGGGCCACTGGCTGGCTGTATGGTCAAGGAATGACTGCAGGGTGAAGCAGGAGACCAGCCAGGAGGCTATTGCTGTGATCCAGCCATCTTTTGCAAGTAGAACTAATGGGATTTTCTGGTATAGGACAAGGGGAAGAGAAGCCAAGGATGATGCCAGTGGTTTGGCCTGGGTAGTCTCTAGCTCAGGACTGTAATCGAGAGGATTTCTGGTGGGAGGCCTAGATGATCTTGAACCTTATGGTGAGGGATTATGCCCTTTACATCTTGACCAGTTCAGATAAACAGTGGGGTGCTCTTGGCCAGATACAGAGGTTTGGGATCTGCTGAGGTCTGGGGGTACCCAGCTGCCTTCCTAACTATGACCACCCCTACCCGGGGGCAGAGGAGAAGTCAGCCCTTCTTCCCCCAGCAGGGAGACCTTTCCTTCTCCCTTTGCCTGGAGTTCCTCCTCCCTCTGTTTTTGGTTTGTCCCAACCCTTCCCTTCCGTTAGCCCAGGCTGTTTGTCCTTCCCCAGTGGTGAGGTCCTTCTCCTGAGCCCCTACCCATAGTTGTCACCTCAAGTTTCAAGGCTTGGACTTGAAGTCTAGTGGGCTGTATTGCTTACCAAGTGGGGACAGTCAAGGTACCTCCCAGGGTTGTTGCATAATATATGTGAGAGAACAGTGTGTAAAGATAGTCATTTTTATGCCAGAAACACAGAAGAGTTGTTGGCTCACTTGATGTAGGATCAGAGGCAGCTTGATAATCAAATATCAGGGCAGAGTCTCCCTGAAAGTCCCCTGACCCGTCTCCTCATTTGACACTGTTTTTTTACCACTTCCCCAAGGCTTTGTGTCGAGTGTTTTGATTGTGGCTGTTGACCAGCCATGTCCATCCTCTGCCCTGGCTGTGAGTGGTCAAGAAACTCTTAAAACCAGTCATTAATTTTTTTTCCCAGAGGTACAGCCTATGTGTTGACTTGGTTCTACTCACTTACACCTATTTCTTGGTTGTATCTGTCTTTCCCTTCTGTCCCTTCCCTCTCTTCCTCCCTCCTTTTTTTGTCAATAGAGTGTATGTTAGCTGTCTGCTGTTGAGTCTACTGTAGACCCAGAGGTTGGTTTGTGTTTGTCTTGAGTTCCCCACTCCATGTGTGGGGCCTGTCTAGGAATAGCCCCCCCGCAGTGTTCGTTGAATGATTGGCTGATGATCTGGGTCTTTTATTCTCCTTTGCAGACCGAGGCGAGGACTACACGGCTGGCTGTCCCTAGTATGGCCAATGAAGAGGATGACCCAGTTGTACAGGAGGTAACCACTGTCACTTGTGCCCTTCCCAGGTTGTTGGCAGCAGGGCCAAGCCCTTTCCCATGTCCTCAGTCAGTGCCCTAGGGGTTCCTACTCCTGGCTGTTGCCCCTGCCATCCCCAGACATCTGTATACTGACCTTTCCTTCCTTCAGGTCTCTGATCCAGCACCCTGATCATAGTGCAGGATCCATGATGGCCCCTAGATGTAGGTTCACTGGCTGTTCTGCCTGTTGACCACTAGGTGTGCAAAGTCAGTATAGGGCCTGGCTCTCTGTCGACTCTTGAGTGAGATAAAAGATTTGACAGCCCCCCTCCTGGGCTTATTGGATCTAGTTGTTCAACCATTCACTTGATCAACAGTGTGCCAGGACATGATGGAAGCGAGAGCACACAAGGGAGGTGTGAGGATAGGTACGACACCTAAAAAATTGGCTAGCATTTGTTGCCTTTAGAGCAGAGAAACTAAAGCAGATATCTTAAAAGCAACTGAGGCCAATAGGAAAAGGGGACCAGGAACTAGAGAAAAGGTTAGATCAAAAAGAATTAACCTAGAAGGTAACACACACGCACAGGAAATTAATGTGAGTCAGCTCCCTGTGTAGCTATCCTTGTCTCAACCAGCAAAAACCCTTGTTCCTTCCTATTATTGCTTATACTCTCTCTGTAACAAAATTAGAAATAAAGGCAAAATAGTTTCTGCTGGGTATTGAGGGGGTGGGGGGGAGAGGGAGGGGACAGAGTGGGTGGTAAAGGAGGGGGTGGGGGCAGGGGGCAGAAATGACCCAAGCCTTGTATGCACATATGAATTAAAAAAAAAAAAAAAGTGCCAGGACTGTGACACAACAGCGAGCAAGGCCATGGCCTTGTCCCCAGGAAGCTTTTGGGATAGGGATGAGTTTCAGGATGCAGACTGAGGGGAGGCAAATTCCAAAGTCACCATGAAAAGAGAAAATTGTTTTTGGTCAAACTTGGTCCTCAGCACCCTTCCAATCCAGGACTCGCCTTTGGAAGGCCAAACTAGCTGCATCTGCCCATGGCCACCCCATGTGAGTGAGGGCCCAGGCATGGTGAGGGTCTGTGGACACAAATAAAGTAGTTCTTGCTTGTTTAGGGAGTGCTGCTCACTAAGCTTAAGGATTTGAGCTATTTAAACACATTTTAACTGCAGTTACACTGCAGAAACCAAGTTATGGCAGAGGTGATTGGTGCTGGCATTAAGGGAGCCCAAGGGACTTGAGGACAGGGGCAACAGCTTCATGTGCTTCTGCTCAGGTGATGACTCTTAGTGAATTGTTGAGGCTTGGGGTATGCATGAAGGAAGAATATGTGCACAGGCCTGGGACAGGATAGAACACTGATCATGTGCAGAGCTGGGAAGCAGGAGGGAAACTGCGCAGTGGGTTTGGGGTGGTTATTGTGAGGAAGGAAGAAGTGCCAGGTGGGTCATGAAGGGCCTCCAAGCTATCTTAAAATAAGGTGGCAGGCCAATCCAGGAGAGGTGAGATGGGAGGCACAGAACAGAAACACAGGCAGATATAATAGGGAACCCTCCTTTGCTCAGCTCACAGAAAACATCTAACCTGGCTCTGTAAGGCATCCTGATGGGGCGGGCTAGGTGAGCTCTTGTCCTGGTCACTGGGAGCTGTTAGGAGGGAGCCCTGCATATGTCTGGTTTGGAGACCTGGTTCCGTTTGTTTTTAGCATGAGCTGAGCTATTTCCTCCTCCCTCAAACTGCCTCTGAGTCACTGCCCCTAACTAAAATTCAAGGAGAGTTTATGCTGGGGCCAACAGCCCTGTGTTCTCTGTCCTGGTTAAGTCTTCTCCCCTTGTTCCCAGATCGACGTGTACTTGGCCAAAAGTCTGGCAGAGAAGCTGTATCTGTTTCAGGTAAATACGGGACTTTAAGGTAAAGGGGAATAAGCCAGTGTTCTGGAGCAGTGGAGAGGATGAGACAGCACGGGAAACATTGGTCTTGCTTAGAATTCTCCACATGGAGTTTGAAAAGCTAGCTTCTTTACTGGTGTGGGTGGCTGACACTAGTTTCTTCAAGATGTGAAAGCAAGGGAGGCAGAGCTAAGCAGTAGTTACCTCAGGCCCTGGGATCATCAGGATTTAGCTTCCAAGCTTCCTGGTGCTTACTATAGGCTGTGTTCTTAGACTGACCCTACAGGAAGAGGAGAGAAGGTAAACCCACCCCATGAACACCTCAGCCCAGGCCTTGTGCCTGGTCTGTATTGTGAATAAGGTGTGAGAAGAAAGAAAAAAAGAAAAAAAAAAAGATTCAGGTTGCAACTTTTGGGCAAGTTAATCTCCGTGAGCCTCAGCTTCCTCACTTACAAAGTGCTGATCACAGTAATGCCTGCATCAGAGACCCTGTGAGGATTGGATGTGTCCACATTAAATGCTTGGGACACTGCTGGCATGTTGTTTGTGCTGATAGTGACTACTGCTGCTGTCATGGAGGTAGTTTTAGTCCTGCTAGCTGTCATTGCCCCTCCCTGCTGGGCCAGTAGTGGTGAACATGTATTGAGCACTTACTGTATACATGCACTGTTTAAAGCCCTATTTATTTATTTATTTTTGTGGGACTAGGTTTGAACTCAGGGCTTTGCATTTGTAAGGCAGGTGCTCTACTGCTTGAGCCATGCCTTGAGTCTATTTTGCTCTGATTATTTTGGAGATGGTGTCTCTAAAACTATTTGCCTGAACTGGCCTTGAACAGAGATCCTCTCAATTTCAGCCTCCCAAGTAGTTAGTTTTATAGGAGCCACCAGTGTCGGTATAAAGCACTTTTTTGTAAGTTAACTCATTTAGTCCCAGAATCACCACGATGGTGGTGGGTATGTTTTTATAGTAGTTTTAGTAAGATACAATTCACATGTACAATTTCCATTCAAGTCTAAAGTGCAGTGGCTTTTAATCTATCTTACCACAATCTATTTTAGCTTTTCCAAAAGTGACCCTGTATCTACACTCAGTCCCCTTCCCACCTCCAGTCCATGGCAACCATCGACTCACTTTCCATTTGTGAATGTGTCTGTTTTGGACATTTCATACCCATGGCATCAAGCATATATGCCTTTTGTGGCTGGCCTCTTTGATGTAGACTTCACCCATGTTGTAGCATATTTCTGTACTTCGTTTTTTATGACTCGTCGATATAGTAGTTTGTTTACCCATTCATCAGTTGATGGCTGTTTGGCTTGTTTCCACTTTTTGGCCATCCTGAATAATGTTCTTCTGAATGAGTGCACAAGGTTTTGTGTGGATGTGTGTTTTTGTTTGTTACAGGCGTATACCTGTGAGAGGAATACACCTAGGAGGCCATATGGTCACACTGTTTAAATTTGGGGAGAACTGCTGGACTGTTTGGCACCATTTTACATTTTCAACAATAATGTGGTTATTTTAAGTACTCATAAGCCAGGCGTGGTGGTTTATGGCTGTAATCCCAGACTTGGAGCAGGAAGATCACAAGTTTGAGGGCATTCTGGACTATGTAGTGAGACTCTGCCTAAAAAAAAAAAGTTACGAGTACTTCTTTTCTTGGTGATACTGGAGTTTGAACTTGCAGTTGCAAGGATCTACCACTTGAATCTTTAGTTCCTTTTCTTTCTTTCTTTCTTTTTTTTTTTTTTCTTTTGTAGTTCTGTGGTTTTGGACTCAGGGCCTATACCTTGAGCTTTATTTTTTGGTGATGGGTTTTTTTCGAGATAGGGTCTTGCAAGCTATTTTCCAGGACTGGCTACAAACCTCAATCCTCCTGATCTCTGCCTCCTGAGTAGCTAGGATTACAGGCATGAGCCACCAGCACCCAACCTTTAGTTATTTTTCAAATAGGGTATTGTGTTCTTGTTCTGACCAACCTGGACCTCAATCTGTTTATACCTCTCACAAAGCTGGGATTACATGTTTGTGCCATCACGCCCAGCTTATTGGTTGAGGTGGAGTCTTACTTTTTGCCCAGGCAAAAAGCTGTCTTCCAATAGTGATCCAGTCTCCACCTATACCTGGCCAGTTTGAGTACTTTGATTCTGTGTTTCACATAAGAGAAGGAGGCGCAGGCAGGCTCTGACTTCCCCAGGGCCTGGGGCAGGTGCAGAGTGACACCTGCTGAAAATGGGCCTGGTGTTCGTTCTTCAGGTTCTGCTTCTATAGCTGTGGAGATGGGGCCTGTCATTTGGGCCTTCTGAGCCTGCATCCTTGTCTGACTGCAGAGTGGTGGTGACAGAGACGGAGGCTTGTGTGTGCATTGTATGCTGGGCCTTGTGCTGGTGCCAGTTCCATTTGCCTTGTCCATACTCAGCAGACCTGGTAGGGGGAACACAAGCAACAGTGGGCGGGAGCTCAGGCCTGTCTGCTTCTAGAACCTGTGGTCTTCCCCATCACTCATCTCAGCCCAGGTCCAGCGGTGTCAGGGCAGCCCTAGCCTCGGGCCTCAGCATACCAGGGTCTTCTGGGCTGTTGGGGAAGGCCTTTCCCACCCAGTGCTGGCCCTTCTCAAGGCCTCTGTGCAGAGCAGCTGGACTCCAGGCTGCTTCTCCACCAAAGCTGCCCCAGTCAACAGAGTGGCAGGAGCTGCTGTGTTGTTGTTGAGTGAGCTTTTAGAAAATGGCTGCCTTTTTAGCTAGAAGGTGGCTGATCCTCAGTGGCCCCAAGGTAGCACTGCCATGCTTCCTACAGGCTCCCTGCAGAGGCTGCCATAGTTCCAGGCAGTGATGGCCTGAGCTTTGGACGATGGGACCAAACCATGGCTTGTCTACCACAGCCCACAGAGGGGGAGGAGGAGGAGGAGAGGGAAAGTGCACCTGTGGGGACGAGTGTGCAGAGGGTCCTGTGTGTTCAGAGCGAGGACTCAGGTTTCAGATCAGACTGTCCAGCGCAAGCCATTTACATAAAGAGGACTTTACACAGGGCACTGTAGCCCAGAGAGGGCATGGGGCTGGTAACTGGTACATCCCAATCAGTGGTGTGAAACTGTGGGAAAGTTCACACACAGGCAAAAGGAGAGAATGGGATTGTGAATTCCACTGTCCCTTGTCCAGCTGAACTCAGCTGTGAGCAACACTAGGCCACAGTGTTCTCTGATACTTGTGGTCTCATTTCTCACACATGGCCTGTCAACTGGTAGTTTGACCTCATGCCTTTACTCTTGCCTCTCCAGCCATGCTGTGAGTTACTAGAGCCTCATAACCCCGGTTTGACTTGCTGATGTTGTGAAGGGCATTCTAAAACTGCCCTGGGGAAAAAGGTTGAGAGGAGTCAGTGTAGTGGGACTGCGGTGGAGACTGCGGGGGTAGGGTAGGAGGTGAGGGGGGCTCATGGTAGGGTGTGTTGGACTTGGACTGCGCTGGTCTCTGCTTGGGGCAGAATTGGGGTGGCTGGGGCCCCTGAAGCCCAGCTCTTGTCAAGGCTGTTCAGGATGGACTGATGGCTCCCTTCTTCTCCGTCTGTTTCCAGTACCCTGTGCGACCAGCCTCGATGACCTACGATGACATTCCACACCTTTCAGCCAGGATCAAGCCCAGGCAGCAAAAGGTGATGGAGGCACTGGGGAGGGGTCTCATGGATGTGAGGAGATGGAAGCCCAGAGAAGGGGAGATTGGAGGATTAGAATAGCAGCTTTCAGGGTCTTAAAGACTGAGGAAGGAAAGGGAGGGGCTGCTTTCGGACTGAAAGAGGCTCCATATGAAGTGGAGAATGGGTGGGCGAATAGAAGCTCAGGTTCTCAGGGCAGGGCAGTTTTGATGTGAAGCAGGCTCAACAGGAAAATATATGCCCAGCAGGATGGGGTAAGGGGCAAGAGTGGAGACACATGCCATGGTCGTGGGGTTGGCTATAGCTTTCACCCTCTGTGGTTACAGAAATGCTACCACAGGATTGCCAGTTCTGAGTTTTTCAAGTGAGGTTGGAGATGAGGGTGTTTATAAGAAACTGCTCCATTTTTAAACCATGCCACCTAATTCAGATCTTGGGGATGGAATGTGGGGGACATAAAAGACTGTGTGAGCTACCTCCACCCCCAGAAGAAAGAATTGTGGTATTTCTGTAGGAATTGGGGGTTGTGGCCCATGCCCGTAGGAGGAGACCCATGTCAGTCAGTATTGTTTCTGGGTTGGGTTGGGGGTGTCCTTGGGAAGATGTGTTGTGGTCCTCACACCTGGGATTGGTGCTTGGTGCCCCAAGGTAGAGCTTGAGATGGCCATCGACACCCTGAATCCCAACTATTGCCGCAGCAAAGGGGAGCAGATCGCGCTGAATGTGGACGGTGCCTGCGCTGATGAGACCAGCACATACTCCTCGTGAGTCCCCTGGCCCAGCCCTTTGAGCTCTACTCTGTCCCCACCTTTGGAGGGCTAGGCTGTCACAGACCCTCCTCTTCTAAGCTTTCCTCTGGGCCCCTCCTCAATGCATCTTTTGGTTCAAAAACAAGGCTGTGGGTTTCTCATCTCCTGACACCCCTCTGGAGTCAGATGGAGGTCACTCTTGGTATTGGCTGTGGTCTGTGGCAGGTGCATTTCTTAGGTGTCTGGGGTGGTGTGGGCTGGACCTGCCAGCCTCCATCTGGAGCTTCCTTCCTTTGATGTTGTCTTCTCTGCTGTCCCAGGAAGCTGATGGACAAGCAGACCTTCTGCTCTTCCCAGACCACCAGTAACACCTCCCGTTATGCAGCTGCACTCTACAGGCAAGGTACTGGGTTGGTCATCTTGGGGCTGGCTGGACAGGGAGACTTTACCCAGTCTTGTGTCTGGTACCTGCCTCTACTGAGCACTAGACCCTGCAGGGTCTGGGCAGTGTGGAAATAACTGTAGGAATCAGGGCACTAGAAGGGACTGCCTCTGGGGTGGCACTTGGGGCTAGACACACCCCAACCTGATACAGCCCTGGTTCCAAAATCTCTTCTTCCTGGGACACAGATACACTGTCCGGAACTCTTCCTACACTCATAGAGCATAGCATAACTTTGGGACCAGGTGGTGGGATTTTGTTAAATTGCAATTACCTATGACCCAGAGATTCCATTCATGATAGTTCAAAAGTGGAAACAACCCAAAGGTGACCAACTGATGTATGGGTGACACATGGTGTCATCTGTACAATGAAGTGGCAGTTGGCCATACAAAGGAGTAAAGCCCTGATACATGCTTTTCTTGTGGATGAACCTTGCCGACATTAAGCTCAGTGGAGAAAGCCAAGCTCAGGACCACACACTGTATGCCCCCATTTCTATGAAATGTCTAGAGTAAGCAAATTCACAGAGACAGAGAACTGATAGGTGGTTTCCAGGGACAAAGGGGAGGGTGATGTTGGGATTGACTAGTTCTTTTGGGGGTGATGAGAATGTGCTAAAATTGATTGTGGTGCTGGGGCCATGACTCTGAATACATTAACATACGTTCAGTGGTGTGCTTTAAGTGGGGGAATTGTATGGTATCTAAGTCATAGCTCAATAAACTGGTGAAAAGTAGAAGGTGCTTGATAAAAAATGAGTCTTAGAAAGCAATAAGTGAAACTAATCTGAACACCGAAGAAACAATACAATCAAAAGTAGGGTCACACAATTACAATTTTATATTTTGAACTGTATTTCAAGGATGTAGCTCCTTAAAGTCACATTTCCTGCAGCCACGCCATCAGGATAGGTCATAGTCCTAGTCAGAGGCCACAGACTCCTCCAGGCTCTGGCAGTGCCACTTCTCCACCCACATTGGCACTAGCAGACTTTTTAATGGGATTTTGGCAAGAAGAGGTGGGAGGATGAGAAGAGGAAAGTGGGTTGCAAGGTGGGGAAGCAAGAGAGGTCTGGTGAGGCCTGGAGGGGAAAGGAAAGTGGGTCGGGTACCCATCCTTGCTGGTGCAAACAGTGCTAGGAGAGCAGCCTTGAGTGTTGGGGAGCATTGGGAGGCAACCTGCAGGAAGTGGCTTTGAGCAGAAGCATCCAGACTCCTGTCCTGGGCTGGGTCTGTGCTTGCTGTGCTTTGTAGGACTTGCTGAAATTAGGAATGGCCCCTGGCCTGGGGGTCCCAAGGCTCTAGTGTCTAGGGGTGGAGTAGGCATGGGAAGTGGTTTGGCAGTGGGCCTAGGCCTTCAGGGGATGTGGTGAGTCCTTTGAGTCAGCTTGGGTGTGTCACCTTCAGTTCCTAGAGGCAGGTTCAAGCCCTTCTTCCTCTGCCAGGTGAGCTCCACCTGACGCCTTTACATGGCATCCTACAGCTGCGGCCCAGCTTCTCCTACCTGGACAAGGCAGACGCCAAGCACCGTGAGAGAGAAGCCGCCAATGAAGGTGAGCCCTGGATCCCTAGCTCTGTTACCTGTCTTTGTGGGCTGACTTGGGCCCCTGCTTGGGAAAAAGGTCCTCTACCCATTACTGTTCCCCAGCAGCACCCACCCACCCACCCACATGTGGAACAATAAAACATGTCTCCATACATTGCCAAATGCCCCTTGGGGTAAACTGCCCTTAGTGGAGACAACTGACTGAGGCAGGTTCCTAAGACTGTTGGCGAGTGGGCAGGTACTCTGACTGGCTTCCCTGTGGGTAGGGTTCAGGCAAGACTGGGCCAGCAACCCCAGCAGAGGCAGAGAGCAGTGGCTTGCTTCTCTTGCAGCTGGGGACTCTTCACAGGACGAGGCGGAAGAAGATGTGAAGCAGATCACTGTGAGCTCTAGCCCTGGATGGGAGGGAGCAGCCTAGGCTGCAGGACAGTAAGGGGTGGAAGGGACTTGCCTGTCCTGGGTGTGATGGAGACTGTCCATCCTCTTGGCCTACTTGCTGGCTGCCTGGAGGCAGCAATCTAACTCTGCTCAGCTGGGTGTGTTGCTGTGAGTGGGAGGACAGCCTCTTTCTGTGTGGGAGGTGTAGGATCCTGGGTTGGGGATAGAAGTGGAGGGAAGCCATGGCTTATCCCTGCTGAACATCAGGTAGGCACACAAAGTTCATTTACTCGTGTCGTTCTGCACTTCCAATGGTGCACTGAAGACCAGCTGTCATTCTCATACTTACTCCTGAACTTGAAAGATTATTTGAAGAATATTATTTAAAAGGATGTAGATTACAATGAGTATTGAAAGAAAAATGCTGCACAAACACTGATGTAGCTGGCACATGATATGACTGAAGTTGTGGGTGTTGGTGCACCCTTAAGGATATTTGTATGCATCCTGAACTGACAGGATGGTCAGCCTGCAAGAGGTTTGTCCTGTTCTCAGCAGTTTGGTGGGCAACCTTAGAAACCTCTCATTCCCTCTTGGGACTCAAACCCCTGTCTGATAAGGTGTGCCTTGGTGCCCCAGGGTTTTACATTGGCAGAACCCCTGAGCAGGGCAAGCTGTCCCCCAATTGGGCAGCACAGAGACAGGCATGTGGTTAGCGTATGTCAGTAAACGAGTGAGGTAGAGTAGAAATGAACAATATGGGGTTCTTTGATTTCCTGGTAAGGGCTGGGACTCAGCCCAGGGAGGACTATAGGCTGAGAGTTGATCCCCCCACCCCATCAGGTACGGTTCTCACGACCGGAGTCAGAGCAGGCCCGCCAGCGGCGTGTACAGTCCTACGAGTTCCTGCAGAAGAGGCAGGCAGAAGAGCCCTGGGTCCAGCTGCACTACTGTGGCCTGAGGGTGAGCCAGGTGCATTGTCTCCCGTCTGAGCTCCTTCACGCTGTCCTTGCCACATGCTAATACCACACTATGAAAGAGTATGAAGTCCTGTAGGCAGCTTCTGTCCCTTCCCCCATCCTACTTACATGCACTTGAGGGAACGGGAGGCTGAAATGCCAGCCTGTGATTCCTCCTAGACTCTGGGCTCTCTTGGAGCAGGACGGGAAGTGGCTTGCTGGGTTCCCAGCGGGGCTAGCGTTTGGAATGTGTTTTTTGCATATCATGGGCTCTAGTTGCAGGCCAGGCATTTTATCAGTGGCTGTGGTAGAGAATGCTATTTGTTTTGTGCTTTAAGGTTCAATTCCTACCTGCCTGGGGGAATTTTCACTACGCTAGGTTTCAATTCATGTATTAATTTATGAACCTTAGCTGTGAAACTGTATTTAGCAAGGAAAGCAATTGAATATTAGCTCCCAAGGACACCTGGACTGCAGCTCCCCAATGTTCTTTGCAAAGGAGAACAGCTCTTCATTTCTTTGGAAACTCCTTGGAAGAGATTTGTATTGACAGAACCTTAAATTTAGGGTCAGATTTCCAGACACTCACTGTGGGCAAGTTATCTAGCTTCTCTGAGCTTCAGTTTACTTATCTGTAAAATTGGCATTATAAAAACCTTACAGAATTATTTTGTACATACACAGGCATTGGAACAGAGCCTGGCACATGATAGGTGCTCAGCTATGATTTTGGCCATTGGTAGCAGTGTTTCTGCATTATAGACAGGACGCTGAGGCCAGGCAAGCCATAAAGCCGGATGCTTGGGGTGCTGTACTTATGAGGCAAAGTGGGGCCCTGTGGCTGACACTGGAGCGGGATAGCAGGGCTGGAGTGGGATGGGATGGAGGACGTTGGATAACCCTTTGCCTTGCTCCTCTTCCCAACAGGACAGCCGCTCAGAGCATGAGCGTCAGTACCTGCTGTGCCAGGGCTCCAGCGGGGTGGAGAACACAGAGCTTGTCAAGTCTCCCAGGTGGGACTGGCATTGGCTGATGGCCTGGGAGGGTTCCTGGGGTGCAGTCCTTCCTTGGTACTGTGGCCCCTTCTCTGCATGGAAAAGGGAGGGAGAGCTATTGCCCCTGGGAAGACGTGAGCCCCACTTTGGTAGGGCTTTATATCATCTGCAGAGCCGAGGCTGCACCTAAGGAAGCCAGGGCTGTCTGCAGCCTGTGGTCATATGAGGGCTAGAGCCTCTGACCCCCTGCCCTCTCCCCACAGTGAGTACCTCATGATGCTGATGCCACCTAGCCAGGAGGAGGAGAAGTGAGTAAGGGGCTGGTTGCTTCCCTCCCCCTCTCCTGTGGACATTCTCTAACCCCCTTACCTTCATTGTCAACAGAGACAAGCCTGTGGCCCCCAGCAACATCCTGTCCATGGCTCAGCTGCGCACACTGCCCCTGGCTGACCAGATCAAGATACTGATGAAGAACGGTGGGTACTACCCTCTTCTCCCAGGGACAGAGGAGTTTATGGGACAGTCAGAGGCCCCAGGGGCAAGGCCAGAGATTCATGCTGCCTAGGTTTATATCTCCATACTTGTGTGGGCTAGTAATATACCACAATGGTGCAGAGGCTTCTTTTGACAGCTCTGAACCTTCTTCCTTGTGATGTCCCTAATTTAGGAACCTAGATAGGTCACTGACCTGAGTCTCAGTTTATCTGTCTAATAGCAACTCTGGGGGTTGATGGGAGATTCAGGGATGAGGATGCGAGAAGTCTTAATTCAGAGCCTTGCATGGGTCATTTTTGTCGTAAAGTGCTTTGTCTTGCAAGGTGTCTTGGCTCTCCTGGCTCTCTGCCCAGTAGGGTCTGCCGTCTTTTTCTCAGGGTTTTCAGGAGTGCATGCATAGCACCTGAGGTTCTCTGAGATGCCGGCTCGAGGTCTCAGAGCCTGATTAGATTGGCTCCTGCTGTGCCGGGGATGCCAGTATGCCAGGCCCATGGCCTATAGAGGATGCTGCGTCTACCCCAGGCTCCTTTGGGGGTCAGCAAAGTGGTGACTGAGGGCACAGAGTTGGAGGCCTAGTCTTAAATCCTGGCTCTTCTACTTTCTCACCAGGTGAATGCAGGTGAGATTTGAGGGTCAGAGTCTGCTTTCTTGGAGATTCTCCACAGCACGCAGCAAGCTGCACAGACAGCCCCTGGCCCACACAGCGGCCGGCAGAGGCTAGCTATTGATTTCTTGATGTTGATATTGCTCCCATTCTGAGGGTGCTGTGGGAACTTGATGCTTGCAGACTCTTGGTGGGGAAGAGGGAAGGATCAGTCCCCTCCTCCCTTCTATTCTTTTTTGGTAGCAGTGGGTTTGAACTCAGGGCCTCATGCTTGCTAGGCAGGCACTATTATTGCTTGAGCTACTCTGTCAGCCCCCCTCCCTTCCCTTTTTAATGAGCCCTCTCTGGTGTCCACCTCAGTGAAGGTCATGCCTTTTGCCAACTTGATGAGCCTCCTGGGCCCCTCTGTGGACTCTGTGGCTGTTCTGCGTGGTATCCAGAAGGTGGCAATGTTAGTCCAAGGAAACTGGGTGGTAAAGAGGTAAGTTACTTTGTAGTCTGTTGATCCAATTGATGGAATTAGTGGTGTTTTGGATCTGACTATATACCGTAGTGCTTTCTCTTTGTCTTGCCTGTCTTATATTTCATATTCATTCTTACCTTATACAGGTTCTTGATTTTGTTTTGCTTTGATACAGGGTCTCATTGTGTAGCCTAGGCTGGCCTTAAACTTGTAATTCTCCTGCCAAGCCTCCCCTCCCCCATTGCTGGGATTGTAAGTGTGCATCACCATGCCTGGCTACTGGTGTCTCTCTCTGTCTCTCTCAATCTCTCTTGCACTCTCATGTTTCCCAGTTCTGGGTGTTGAACCCAGGGCCTTCCTCTTGTTAGACAGGAACTCTACCATTTGAGCCCTGCACCCAGCCATTGTTCTTATTATGTTTCCTTTTTTTTTCCTGTTAACTTGGAGGTTATTCTCTTGACTTTTTAGCAGTTACACTATTGTTTTTAGCTTGCAGTCATGACTTAGCTCTGTATTAATTGCTGCTTTTTACTCTTTTAAGATAGTTCATAGTCTTTGATTATTTTATGTTGGTTTTCCTCCCAAGTCTATGCTTTAGTATTTGTATGTTTTTAATTCTGTCAGTATTGTAGGTCCCACAAGACATTACATTGGCCAGTCAGTATCTTTTTATCTGCACATATTTCCCATTTTCTTTGGCTTATCATTCCTGATGAGTTTTATCTCTGAGTTTCTGTCAGGATAACTCCTTCTGCCTAAAGAATGCTGCATGTTTCCTTCAGTGCAGGTCTGCTGGCAATGACTTTCCTTGGTTTTTGTTTATCTGGAAATGTTTATTTCACTTTTGTCCTTGAGTGATTTTATGGAGTGTAGGAATCGGTTGATGATTATTTCCCTTCCACATGTTGATATGATTTTGTTGTACTCTGATTTAGTTTTCATTGACAAGCCCACTGCCAGTCTAATTTCTTGTTCTGTTGAACATCTTCCTTTGCTTATCTCTGGCTGCTTTGAAGTATTTCTCTTTGCTTTGGCTTTCTGCAGTTTCATTATGCTGTGTCAAAGTGTGGATTTCTTATATAGACCATGAATTTGTGGCTTGAGGCTTCTCAGTAGTTTCATTTCATTGATTCCTCCAGTAGACTTAACTGCCTTCTCCATCAAGCCAGCAGTTTCGCGGGAATAGGACAGCAGAGTCTGTTCTGATTCTCTTCGGTCCCTACTGCCCACTGTGGTTCCTGGCACTCACAGACATCTTGATAAAAGCAGTGTGGCCACATCTTATGTATGCTTGAATTTTAGTAATGTACAATGGTGTAATATAAAATACATTGATAAAGACTTAATCTGAATAGTGTAGTGTAAGGTGAATAATCTGACAAAATGTGAATAACTCCAGTTTCCTTTTTAGCTGCAAAAAGTCTATTATTTCACAGTTGGTTGTGAAGTGTGTTTGTCATACTGCCACATGGTGGTGCCATTTCACTGGTAAACATGCCAGCTGTCTGAGTTACCCAAGTTTTCTGTTATGAATGAACTTTATGATGGTTCATCACTTGTTAACTGCAACCACTTGCATGGATTTATGCAATGAATGCATGAAAGCCAGAAGGGGCCGTCCAGCCAGGAGCTACATGTGTCCCTGGGGCTTAGATGTTCTGTCCATCCCCAAGGGCTTCTTTGAGCCTTACTCTGAGGTGCCCAGGCCTGTGGTCATGGTCCTTCCAGGTCCTCTCTTTGTGTGCTTCTGAAGAGATAAGAACTCATTCAGTGAATAAGCCTTGTTTCCATGTTATGTGCCATTGGCTGTGCTCCCATTTGCTCACTGTCTAGCCTCCTGAAGTAGAGCACACGACACAGGAAGTAGATGCCTTCTCTGCATTCGGCACCCAGAACAGCTGAGGCCAGGTCACTGTTTCCATGGAGCTCATCTCTGGAGCATGGGTCATAGTTGCAAGGCAGGACTGGCATGGCAGAAGCGATGAGGATCTTCTAGCAGGGGCACCAGGCATTGGTAGCAAAGGCCCTGCAGGCAGGCCCAGCTTGGGCTAGGGATGAAAAGGAGGATAGGAAGACTCATGCTGTACAGAGTCCCCAGCCTTTATCCTGAAGTCCACTGGGTCTTGAGTGTCTTCTCCAAAGGCTCAGAGTCCTTCATGCTCCAGAGCTTGCCTAGACCCAACCTTTGACCTCTGACCTAAGCTCACACACACACCTTTTTGGGCAGGTGGTGAAGGTTTTTGCTTTGCTTCAGCACCAGTATTTCTTGGTGCCATAAACAACTTCATGTGTATGACTAGAGTCTACCCAGCAGTCCTGGGCTCCTTGAGGTCCCAGGCTTGTAGTGTCTGAGCCCCTGACCCCTCCTTGTCTGGTCTGGGAACGAGTGGGAGGGAGAACTCTCAGGGTAGGGTGGCGCTGTTCTTTCCAGCACATGGGTTCGTGGAGCCAGGCCTGTACCCATCCCTTACTGGGAAAAGGTGTAGCTTGGGCTAGGCTCGGACTGTGAAGCCTGGGATTCAAGAACATAATGGAGAGGGCTGAGGATAGGGACTGACTGATCTGTCACCCCCACTTGCTCTGGCAGTGACATCCTGTACCCCAAGGATTCATCCAGTCCTCATAGTGGTGTGCCTGCTGAGGTGCTGTGCAGGGGCCGAGACTTTGTTGTAAGTACCCAGGCACTCTGGTCACGGGGTTGTAGGCATGGGCCCCAGAGCGGGCAGTAGTGTTCCAGGGATCAGCCATGGGTGAGGAGGCTGTACTGTGGGGCTCTGTACTACCTTTCTTCTCCTTTCTTGGGAACCCCATGTTCATTGGCCAAGTGGTGTTTTACAAAGCTTTCCTTCACTGTGGATTTGTATGGGTTAAAATCTTGTATAGGCTGGGTGTAGTGGCTCAAGCTTGTAATCCTAGCTACAAGCTTGGATTTGTAGGTGGAAATCCAGAGGATGAGAACCCATCTTAACTAATGGCTGGATGTGGTGGTACATGCCTGTCATCCCAGTTATGCAGGAAACACAAATAGGAGGATTATGGTCCAGACCATAAAATGAGACCCTATCTCAAAAAGAACCATCACAAAAAAGGTCTGGGGACATGGCTCAAGTAGTAAAGGAAGTGCCTAGCAAGTGTAAGACCCTGAGTTCAACAACCCCAGTAATGGCTCCCGCCACCCAAGAAAAGAAATCTTGGTACAAACCACATTTCTATCAAGAATAATTGGACAATCCAGCCCCTCTAGGCCCTGGCACAAGCTTGGATAAGCTAACGGTTCCACTTCACAGGCTAGCGCCTTTGCTCCCTTGGTGCTTGTGACTCCTGAGCTGTCTTGCCCCTCCTCCCCGTGCCATGCCTCACTACACATTGAGCTTAAATCCCTCCCGAGGGACTTGTGCTGCCTCCCTAGACCCTGACACTCATGTGTGTTATAATATATCCTCTCGTAGTGGCCCTTCTACCCACTCACAGGCCTTGTCCCACAGGGAGACCTTAGGCTGCTTGAAGACTGTCTGCATTTTCTCCCCAGCTTATTTTGGCAGTTAGTGTGCAGGGGTCTGGGTGGTGTGTTTTCATCTGTGAAGTCAGTGTAGCATACACCAGGTGTGCTCACCAGGGTAGGTACCTTTTTCTTCAGCCACTCTCTGGGCATGCAGATGCCTCCAGCTTGGGGGCCAGGGAGAGGGTCTAAGTCAGATCTGAGTTGTTGTAGGGGACAATCAGTCATCCTTTCCTTGGGTGTCTCTCAGACACCTACCCTCATCTCTACCCCTACGAAGCAGTTTGGGGGTGTGAGAGCTGCTGAGGTGGCTCCTCCAGGAGCCACCACCACGGTGTGGTGCCCTTGCAGAACACCCTGAGAGCCCTGGTTCCCTATACCACCTCCCGAAATCCTCACGACCCTCTCAAGAGGCACTGGGGATGCAGCAGTGAACAGATGGGCAGAGCCTGGCCCAGGGAGTGTTTTGGGCCAGGTGGGGTGGGTGGTCCAGCTGCCTTGGGGATGGAATCTTGGGTCCTTTACAGAGCAGAGTGAAGGAGGCTTACAGGTGAGAGGACTATCCAAGGCACATGACTGGGAGGAAGGGCCAGGAGTGCACCCTGGTCTGTTTGCCACCCAGGCCCAGGGCCACTGTGGGCTCAAGGCAGCCTTTGAGCAGCCTCTGGGAACCTGCTGCTTTTCTCTCTCAGATGTGGAAGTTCACGCAGAGTCGCTGGGTGGTGAGGAAGGAGGTCGCAACAGTGACCAAAGTAAGTGGAGTCCTTGCGACCTGAGCCCCAGAGCCTGCTGCAGAGGCATAAGGGCCTCTGGGCCTCACTCTGCTCCTCCCCTCAGCTCTGTGCAGAGGATGTAAAGGACTTGCTGGAGCACATGGCCATAGTGAGGATCAACAAAGGCTGGGAGTTCATACTGCCTCATGACCGGGAGTTCATTAAGAAGCATCCAGATGTGGTCCAGCGACAGCACATGCTGTGGACAGGCATCCAGGCTAAGTAAGAGCTTTGTGGGATGGGATGAAGCGAGGCTTGTGCCATGCAGTCCTGGCAGCTCTGTGCAGTCAGGCTGCATCTGGACAGTGCAGGCAGCTGGGGCCTTTGTGCATTGCTGCCCTCCTCAGTGCAGGTGGACGTTGCAGGCTGGACTCGCATCCTCCCAGCACAGGACTGAGGTGGGCACAGTCCTTGCTTGTCAGAGCTGCCCGTGTTCTAAGGGCACGGGGAGGGGAGGGAAGGTACTGAGACCAGCAAAGGAAGAGGGAGCCGTGGGTCACTCCCGACCCTGGCCCCAGAGGACCTGGCTGAGCTCTTGAGCGCATGCTCTCCCAGTGACCAGAGCAGCCTGAGCTTGAGGGCTTGTTTGTAGTGTGAGGCAGGTGGTAGGGGACATGATTTAAAAGTTAAAAGGGTTTACTCTTCTTTTCAGGTTAGAAAAGGTCTATAATCTTGTAAAGGAAGCCATACCAAAGAAGCTGGATGAACAACCAGGTGTGTGGGACTTTGGATTGGGCAGGCCCCCAACTCGGACACTCTAGTCCAAAAGGGTTACTTAAGTTTCTAGAGCGGGTCAGGGCACAGGCCTGCATAAGGGACATAGACTCTTGCTGTTTGCCCTTCCTGTCCCCTGCTCCCTTCCTGCCCCCAGAGACTCAGCATATGCTTGTCCAGTAGCACAGCTGCCATCCTCCAGAGCTGAGTGTAGACTCTGAGGTCTCCTGGCCCTGTCAGGTTAATAGGCAGTGGGATGGGAATAGCTATTGGCAGGAACTCCCCAGTGACCCATTCTTGGGGACTCTGCACCTGAGACTTTGACTTCTGCCAGCTCTCTTACCTTACTGTGGGGTTGCTAAGTCCCAACTGAGCAAGGTGGGGAAGAAAGACAATCCTTGCTCCTGGTGTTAGTCTCTGCTGTCCCTTGCCAGACCTGTGCCCCCCTGAGCAATGCTGCCTGTCCTCACAGGGCCTGCTGTGCTGGTGTCTGGGGAACAGCGGGTCCAAGTAGCCAAAAGCAAGGCCCAGCAGAACCATGCCTTCCTGGAGCGGGAGCTGCAGCGCCGGAAGGAGCAGATCCAGGCATCCACAGTCATGGGTGGCGTGCGCATCAAGGAGGAGCCAGTGAGTGAGGAGGGCGAGGATGAGGATGAGCAGGAAGCCGAGGAGGAGGAGCCAATGGACACCATGCCCAGCAGTGGCCTCAGCAACAGACTGGCCAATGGGCTGCCTACAGGGAGGGCTGCAGGTGGAGATAGCTTCAATGGCCACCCGCCCCCTGGCTGCTCCAGCACCTCTGTGGCCCGGGAACTCGGGGCGTTCGTGAAGGCCACTTTTCAGAGGCAGTTTGTGCTCACACTGAGCGAACTCAAGCGCCTCTTCAACCTGCACCTAGCTAGCCTGCCCCCTGGACACACGCTCTTCAGTGGCATCTCAGACCGCATGCTGCAGGACACGGTGCTGGCTGCCGGCTGCAAGCAGATACTGGTGCCTGTAAGTAGAGCCTGTGCCTGCTGGGGCAGTGGACAGCCAGGCCACCCACAATCCCTCAGGAGGGCTTCTGGGTGGGCAAATGGTACCATGAGAAGTCCACACGCCTCAGGAGTGGCCGAGCCCTGTCCACTTTGGAGAAATGAGCTGTTAAGAGGCCAGATGGGGGGCACAGGTGGCATCTTTGGTGTGAGGGTTCCTTTGTGTGTGGCTGTGTGTGTCCTCACCTGCAGTGGTGTGGTGCTGGCTTTTATATGATGGTTCTTTGCAAAGGGGTGAGTGAGAGGTCTGAAGGCCCTTGCCTGCTGTCTGGCACAGGCGGGGGCCTCAGTAGATGCATGCTCCTTCCTGCATCTGACCTGGGGTAAGTGAGTGGTAGAGTGGAAATTTGAACAGTGGCTCCTTTCATCTGCTTCAATGAAGATGAGCTAAGCACCCCTACACATAGCTTAGGCTATGTCCTGCTGGACTTCCCTTTCTGTCAGGCCGGCTGACAACACAGTGTCTGTGCCTCTCTGGATTACTTGTTCTAGGCCTGGGGGTATGGAGCCACTCGCCTCCAGGATTCTTTCCTGTCAGCAGGAGGGACCCCACGGGGGAGCAGTGGCAGAGCCTTTTGCTAAGGCCAAGGGCACCCAACTATCTGTGGTGGTGGCTCTCTTTTCCCAGACACTGCCCAGCCCTGGCAGCAAATGGGATGAGATGGGACTGGGCTAGCTCCTGAAAAGGGAGTATTGACATGTGCAGTGCCAAGGTCAGAAGCACCTGCAACCTGGGGCAATGTCCTTAGGTCAAAGCTACTCCTGTGTACGTAAGGGGCAGAATCTAGGACAGGAGGCTCTTTGGATCTGGGCAGGCTGGGCTGTCTCAGGGGACCTGGCCCTGCTGGCAGGGAGCCTCCTTGGTGAGGTTTTCTGTAGGAGGTACTAGGGTTTGGGACTCTTGCCCACCTAGCAAGTGAGTGCAGTTCTTTGCAGTCCTTTCTGTATATGTTGGGCTGCATCAGGGATGGGTGTCTGCCTGACATTGGCAAGGTTGCCCTGGGCCACTGGTGTGAACAAAGGTGGGAGATATGATTGGGTCACTTAGATGCCCCTGCCTGCTCCCAGTACCTTCTATGGCCTGTGGAGCTCTTTTCTTGTGATCCTGATCCCGGACCATGTCACAGGCTTGTCTGAGGTGGAAGAGGCCTTGGATCTGTCCAGCCTTCTCTTTTTTTTACACAAGGGAGAGAAGGCCTAGAGAGAGCAAGTAGACTCACAAAGACTTGAGGTTAAGCCAGGTGTGGTGTTGAACGGCTCTAATCCCAGCACTCAGGAGGCAGAGGTCGGAGATTGTGAATTGGAAGACAGCCTGGGCTACATAGTGAGAGTCTGTCTCAAATCCTTCCCATACCCCTAAAAAAGGGAAGACTTGAGTGTTTGTGGTTCTGTTCCTTGTTAGCTGTGTGGCCATGGAGAAAGGGGATTGCAACACCTTGGACTGCTCAGTTTCTAATGATCAAGTGAGTGTATGAAGCCCTACATGGGGCTTTACGTGAAAGTGGTTACTAGTGTCACTTGTGGAACCAGAACTGGAGCCCGCTGTTCAGGGGCCCATTTCCTGTGTCCCCTCTCCAGGTACCAGGCCTTTACCATCCTTTTCCTGGCCCAAGAACCAAGTGTGATGGGTGTCCTGGGATCTGGGCCACACTTGATTCAGTGCTTGTGCGGAACAACTGAAAGGAGCCCCGGTTACCCCTCCAGAGTGAGGGGGAAGGGCATCTCAGGACCCACCTGAGGATTGAGCTAATGCCAGACAGGTGGAAAACTGGAAGGACCTGTCTTCCCTCACCCTAAGCCCCTCTAGGCTTCATGTTGACATCTCACCAGTGTCACACTCCTCATGGAGGCCTGCAAGTGGCAGGACTGGGCTTAGAATACAGCTCTCTAGTGCTGGGCTGCTGCAGACTGAGGGGTGAGGCAGGCAGGGCTGTGGGTCCACATGGCACATAAATAACCACGTCATGTCTGGGTCTGGGCCAGTTTCCCCCACAGACTGCTGCTTCCCCGGATGAGCAGAAGGTGTTTGCCCTCTGGGAGTCTGGAGACATGAGTGATCAGGTGAGGTGACCTTCGCTGCCCTCTCCCTGGGAGTGGGGAGTAGTTAAGACCTCCTGGAAGATGAGGCTTTGGGAACTTCATGGGAAAGCTGACTCCGCCTTGCTGGACCCTACACCTGCCCCTCAGAGAGGCCGCCTATAACTCCCAGTAGATCCATGAAGAGAGAGTTGCCACTGTGTAATGCACAGAATGTGCTGCTGCCTTGACTGTGTGGCTGGGTGCTGTCACTAGCTTCCTTGTGGCTGTGCTGGGGGAATGTGGGGAGGTGCGGTAGATGTCTGAGCACTGCCTCTTAGTTTAGTCAGTCAGAGCATCAGACTCGAAAGAAGTCTGATGACGTGTTCATGACAGGGCCAGAATTCAGTAGCACACTGTGATTGGCACTTTTATACTACTTGATGTTTCCACTTGAAAGAAGTTATCAACACATGCAGACCAGCAGTGACACCTGTTAGTGTGAGTCTCTGGAACCTGACACTGCTTTCTGCTTCTCTGGGTGACTGGTTCTACCCCATGTCATGTTCCTTTCTAGAATCTTGATTCCTCCTTGTTTTTATTTCAGCTTCTGATTTTTATTTCAGATTGTCATGTCTTAAAATGTCTTTCTTTTGCCCTCAAGAATCGCTTGTAATGATGGAATTAGAATTTTAAGGGGCAAGTCATTTTCCCTCGTTCCCTCTGAATGTAAGGTTTCTGTTTCAGAGTCATTGAAGCTCAGTCACATTCTTCTTGGCCTTTGAGCCATATCTTCCCTTTATCACAGCCTGAAGAGCTTTACATTGTTCTGTATATTGGTGCAATTTCTTATATACTCTTTTAAGTTATTATTTTACTAGTTGAATAGTTCTTAGGAAATCCTGTGACTTGATAATTTATCTTTTTCTGTTCTTGTGGAATTCTGTTACACATTAAATTGGTAGGCTTAATCTTATGTAACTCTTTTTGGGGAGATTTCAGCTATCTTTCTAATTAATGTTTATTTGGGGTGGTATGCTTGCATGTCAAAACTCTGAACCAGTTTTGATGTCTATTCCCAGATTGTGGCTTCTCTGCCTGCTAAGTCAGTTTTCACTCCTAGGGTTTGTCCTGAGAACGCATGTCCACACTGCTTATCCTCTTGAGTTCCTTCGCCAGTGCTTTTGTTCTTGCTACCATAAACCTTGCCTGGGTCTGGAGTGATGACAGTTGGCCAAACTGGCTAATATTTAACCAGGAGTGCAGGGCCACGCACTTACTAGTTTACAGTGTGGGTTACCCACAACTTTGGGTGTCTTGTTTGTTTTCACTGTTTCCCATAATAACACATTTTCACTACTAAAGCATCGACAGGTTTTGCTTGAAATTTTTTCCAAAAATTATCGGGTACGCCGGAATCTGATCCAGTCTCGGTTGACTCAAGAGTGTGGAGAGGACCTAAGCAAACAGGAGGTGGATAAAGTGCTAAAGGTATGGGCATCTCGTGCATCACTACACCCAGAGACTCGGCCTCAGCTCTGCCCACTGACTTAGCATGAGGAAGCCTGGCCATGTGCAAGGACTCTGGTCTGGTGTTATGTGCAAGAGGGTCACCCTCTGCACACGGCATGAGCTCGAGGGTTGTCCTCAAAGGACAAGGCCTGGAGATTAGAGTCCTGGCTCCAACCCATCAGTCTTGCACTGCTCTCATGATTGTTGCCATGGCCACAAACGTAGCACTTGTGTGATGTAAACTTCGATAGAATCCATTTTTGTTTGTTTTTGTTTTGGCGATAATGGGGTTTGAACTCAGGGCCTCGAGCTTGCTCTGTTACTTGAGCCATGCCCCCAGCCCTAGAATCCATTTTTAAGCTTAAGTTTGGAAAGGAATAGTGTTTCTGATATGTCAGAGTTCTTCACATACCACCTGGTGCTTTTCTGAGTTGTCTGCGATTTACAGAGACTTGGACACAGAAAGCTGAAGATGTTTCCCCTATATTTTAACCTGTTAAATAGTCAAGACATGTAAGTGATACAGTGTACTGAACACCTTTGTTCTAATCAATTTAATAACATTTTGTGTTTATAAAGCACATTCATCTTACAGTTCCTCTTAAAAGGAACTGGACCCTGGGGAAAGGGTTCAAGGCCCTAAACCCCATGAAGAGACCAGGTAGTCACCACAGTAGTAGTTATCCTTTTATTGATTTACTGTTTGTGTTTTACACTTCTCACCATCACTGGTATGACAGGTACACCACCATACTCAGCTTTTTTCTGTTGAAATGGGAGTCTTAGGAACTTTTTTATCCTGGACTGACCTGAAACTGCCATCCTGTGGATCTCAGCCTTTGGCCTAGCTGGGACGCCAGGTGTGAATTGCTGGGGCCCAACTTAGATTTTGATACCCTGGATATAATAAAGTTACCTTTCCTGGTAAAGTCTGCTCTTTAACCTGTTCCTCTCTCTTCTTAGGACTGCTGTGTAAGCTATGGTGGCATGTGGTACCTTAAAGGGACAGTGCAGTCTTGACAATAGTAGTATACCACTAACCCAACGACTCCAAGCCCAAGGAAGGATGGCAGAGCTGGAAGTAGAGTGTCGACTTCCTCCAAAGACACAGCAAGAGCAACTGCCCGCCTCAGGGCCTGCGGCACTGCACAGTCCAGCGGACAGAGGGGCTCCTACTCGGCCAGTGGCAGGATCAGCTTAAGTGAGATCGCTCCCAGCAAAGACCAGCCAGACCTTTGCAGTACAATTTGAAGTTCCTGTGTAATTTGCTTGTTATTTGGTTTCATTCTCATAATAAAGAGAGTGTAACTGATACATGCAGGATAATGAAAGTCATGGTTTAATATTTTCCTTGTTAAACTTAATGCCAACAAAGTCAAAGTTATGTTTACAAGATGAAAAACCTCAAGGTTTTTAATATTTAAAATGCCCAGAAGCCAGTTATCTAGTCTTAGATTGTCTATCTGCTAAGACTTCTGCCAATTTCGTTAAATCAAATTGGATTGTTTTACGTTGGGTTTCTGTGGCCACTTCACCTTTTACAACAACCTACTTTATGTAGCAGTCTCTACTGTTTACATGAACCATAGCAAAAAATTAGAATCAAATCCATCTTCTCTGTTTGCATAAAGATGCAAACAAAACCAGGTAAGTGTGGAACAATGTATAAGTGAGGTTATCACACTTTGATGTAAAGAATTTATATTTTGTGTATTTTAAAAATAAATGCTAACACTAAACTGGCATCGTGGTGCTGCTGTCTTCATATGGCCAAAGGAAGGCATATTAAGTGTGCTGATGAAGGAAGGGAGACCTAGGAAGAATTCTAGGGTGATGGGTCTGCCACTAATGAACTGCTGCTCAGCCTGAGATAGATCTGCATCCCCTGCTGTTGAGGCTGTGAAGAACCACGGAGCAGCCTCATGCTGTTGTGCAGACACGGCAGCAGGATGGAAGGAGACCACTGAAAGTACACACTGGCATCTCAGAAGAGAATAGGGAAGGTTGCTAATAAAGGGAGGGAGCAGTCTCCTTCAGAGAGCTTAAAATGTACTTCAAATACTGTTTTTCATCATTTTTTTGTACTAAGTTTTTAAAATCTGGCATTTCACACTTACACTGTCAGGCTATAATTTACATGCTCAGTAGCCACATGTGGCTCATGGTGAACGTACTGACTGGACCCCACAGCCCTAGTGATGACAACGAGGTAAGGGCTGGATTGAGTGAGATGGGAATTTTGCTATCTAATTAAGCCTTTTTCCAAATTCTATTTTGTGTAGTACAGTTACCTAAACCTTCAGCAGCCTGAGTATTTAAATGATGGCCTGCACTGCCCTCCCCTCGGTATCAAATATTTTAGCATAAAATAAGACATTGATCGGGTATATACTTTGCCAAATAAACGTTTGGTAACAAACTTACTAGATTGATTGTATTTTATACTTTTGGTTCTAATCAGAGTAAACAGTTGCCATAATTGATAGGGAGCGTGTCTCAGCCAGTACCTGCCAGTGTTCCTTTCTCCCTTTGAAAGGGGAAAACGGTTACATGGGATGCGCAGGTAATGTGTTAGTGCCACTGTGTAGCAGGACTTGGTCAGCTCAGTGGGTTCGTCTGAGCCTTAAGTATTTAAATTGCTTTGATCTTTTTTTCAACTTTTTTTTTTTTTTTATAATTCGTATGTGCATACACTGTTTGGGTCATTTTTCCCCCCTTACCTCCCCTTACCCCTTGCTACCCGTCAGAAACTATTCTGCCCTTATCTCTAATTTTGTTGAAGAGAGAGTATAAGCAGTAATAGGAAGGACCAAGGGTTTTTGCTAGTTGAGATAAGGATAGCTATACAGGGAGTTTACTCGCATTACTTTCCTGTACATGTGTGTGTGTTACCTTCTAAGTTAATTCTTTTTTTTTTTTTTTTTTTGGACCTAATTATTTAAATTTTTTTTTCTTTTTTATTTTCATATGTGCATACAAGGCTTGGTTCATTTCTCCCCCCTGCCCCCACCCCCTCCCTTACCACCCACTCTGCCCCCTCCTCCCCACCCCCAATACCCAGCAGAAACTATTTTGCCCTTATTTCTAATTTTGTTGTAGAGAGAGTATAAGCAATAATAGGAAGGAACAAGGGTTTTTGCTGGTTGAGATAAGGATAGCTATACAGGGCATTAACTCACATTGATTTCCTGTGCGTGGGTGTTACCTTCTAGGTTAATTCTTTTTGATCTAACCTTTTCTCTAGTACCTGTTCCCCTTTTCCTATTGGCCTCAGTTGCTTTTAAGGTATCTGCTTTAGTTTCTCTGCGTTAAGGGCAACAAATGCTGGTTGAACTAACCTTTTCTGTAGTTCCTGGTCCCCTTCTCTTATTGGCCTCAGTTGCTTTAAACTATCTGCTTTAGTTTCTCTGCATTGAGGGCAACAAATGCTATCTAGTTTTTTAGGTGTCTTACCTGTCTTCATACCTCTCTTGTAAAAGGTATAAGTTAAAAAACACTGAATTCAAATAGAGATAGGAAGAAAGGACTGTTAATAAAAGCAACAGTTCCTTCTGGGACACCAGTACTCCTCCTCTTCCTCCCTCCTGGAAACATCAATTTGAACAACTTAACCTCTTGCAGAAATGTCTTCACAGGAGCTGAGGAAGCCACCAAGAACACGGAAATAAGACACAAGGGTCCCAGCCCCAGGCTACACATTGAGGAACATCTACATGGGGAAAGGACGGGCATTAGCACCAGACTTTTGTCCTACCGAGCAGCCAGGCCGATGCCTTGGACCTCAAAACCAGCACTTGGCAGGCCTTTGTGGCCCCAGACTCAAGGCCTGACCAGGGGACTCAGTGTCTGGACTGGCCCTGGCACTAGGCTGGCCCCTGCAGATTGCACATTGTGGAAGAAGTGTATAGTGGAGCAAAGCTTCTTGCTTCATGGTCCCTGTATTCCCTTCAAGGGCATCCCCTAGTGACCTAAAACCTTCCCACTTCTTAGTTTCCACCATCTCCTAATGGCACCAAGCTGGGGACTGAGCCTTAAAACTCACGGGCTTTTGAGTCTCCAGATCCAATGTATTGCAGGACCTATGTACAGACAGATGAAAGTGGACCCTAGTCTTAAACTGCACACAAAAATTGTCCAAAGACCTAAACATGAGTCCTGCCTGAAACCATAAAAAACAAACAAAAACTTGACACTGCTCTTGGCAATGATTTTTTGGCTAGAACACCAAAGCACAGGCAAAAATAAGCAAGTGGGACTACTAAGAAGCTTTACCACAAAGGGAACAGCAAAAGGAAAAGGCAGCCTATGGGTTAGAAACCATTTGCAAGCCACATCTGAGGAGTTAATATTCAAAACTATATACAGGAAATCAACTGTAAAAAGCCCAAATAATCTGCTGAAAAAGTGAGCAACGGATGTCAACAGACATTTCTCCAGAGACAAAAGATTGTGAGCCAACAGGGACAGGAAAGTACTCAGTCACTGATCAGGAAATGGCAAGGTGAGGTAGCTCATACAGTTATAACAGCAAGTATCAAAAAGACAAGAAGTAACAAATTTGGGAGGGTGTAAGAAGACCCTGTACACTGTTGGAAATGGAGACTGGTGCCACACTGGAAAGTGGCATGGAAGTCACTAAAGAACTATGGCAGGACCAAGCAACCCCTCTTCTGGGCATGCACTCAAAAGGAAATGAAGTCTTCACCGCAGTTACCAAGATGTGCAGATAACCAAAGTGTCCATCAACAAAAATGGGTAAATCGTGGTAGGTATGCAAGCACACAAAAATACTTAGCATCTGAAAAGGAGGTCCTGCCATTTGTGACAACCTGCAGGACATGATGCTAAGTGAAATAAGGCAGACACTGCTGAAAGAAGAATAACACTTGTATTCACTTGTAGGTGGAATAAAGAAAAAAATCCAGTATGTAGAGACATAGAGATAGTAACAGTGGTTAGGAGGGGTGAGGGGAAAATGAGATGGTGTAGGTCACAGAGTGCAAAGTTGCAGTTTGGTGAATGGATACGCCTAGGAGGGCTAAGGTACAACAAGAAGACGGGAATGAACTTGGACACTGGCAAGTTGCCAAGAGACAATTCAGGTACACTCGCCTTAAATGAGCCAGTGTGTTACTTACCCATGTGCATCTATAACAAGATAACAAGCATTATGTTGTACCAAAAAAAAAAAAAAGGCCTGGGAGTGTGGCTCAGTGCTAGAGCATGTGCTGAGCGTGCATGAGGCTCTGGGTTCAACACCGGCCCAAAGAAGAAAGAAAAAAGAACATGCAAATATGTATAAACAAAATGAAAGGGAAAAGTAAATTTTTATTTGCTGAAATAAGATGCAAAACGTATTCTTGATATAAATTCTTAAAACGAATAGACTTTTGATGGATGGGACTGATAAGCATGTATGCTCTCACTATAATCTGGATATACCAGTCCCAACAGACAAGAATTAGAAAAAGGATATAAAAAATGAGTAAAATGGACATTTTTTTCAGGTGTATCAAGAGAATGTAAAAGCTACTGTTCATGAGCACTCAACAAGGTAGCTGGATCAATAGCTGTCCTGTGTGCAACCAGATTGAAAATATAACAGAAGACCTCACAAGAGAAACCTTTACAGGTGTGCAGGGTCCAAGGGCTGGCAGTTGAAAAGCTCATGGGTTTAGATAGAAGGCTCTGTATCTTGTCTGTTCTCCATATTTTAATCTATTTTTAAAAATACTGATCTCAGTAAAAGTACCAATTTCCACCCAAGAACCAGACAAGCTAATTATAAAAATTTAGATTGGAAAGACCATGCAAAAAACATATACAGGAAAATACTGACAGAAGGTTCACTTCCTCTTTGCAGTTGTAAAAAATACCCAGGTTATATAGTTATTTAAAAGATCTACTTAAAACTGCAATAGGCACATGAAAAACAGGTCCAAATTCGTACAAAAATTTTGTACTGAGTGCAGGGAAGGTAAGAGTAATAGAGGGGTGAATGTGACCAACGTACATTAAATGCACACTTGCTTTGTACCATTAACATACACTAACAAAGAGGCCTGGGAGGAGGGCTGTGGTCTGAGGCCTAAGTAAAAACGCAAGACCCCTATTTGAAAATACAAGCTTGTGTGGCTCAAGTGGTAGTGCTCTTGCCTAGTAAGTACAAGGCCTGAGTTCAAATGCAACACCGCCCCCAAGAAAATTTAGTACTGCTATGGATGGTACTTCAAGCTTGGGGACGAGACTAATCTTACATTCAGAGGGACCATAAACCTTTCAAACACAAAAAGGAACAAAACAAGTACAAGATTTATGTTCACCAAGTTATAAAACTTTGCTTTGCAAAAATGCCATTAGCAAGGTAAAAATGAAGGGATGGCAGTGTGGCTCAAGTGGCAAACCACTTGCATAGCAAGTACAAGGCTGTGAGTTCAAATCTCAGTACCAACAAAACAAAAATAAGGTAAAATTAAGATAATTTGGAAAAAAATGCTTTTCAGTTTCCACTTGCAAAAGTGTACTAAGTACTAGAGATTATTTTTAAAAAGGCAAGGTAAAATATAAATGACTTTCTAACATATTAAAAATATTAGGGCTTGGGTCGTGGCTCAAGTGATAGAGCACCTGCCTAGCAAGCATGAGGCCCTGGGTTCAAACCTATGTACTGGAAAAAAAAAAGGACAAAAAGAAGAACATGAATAGCATGTCACAAATGAATAAAGTTTCAATAAGCATTTAAAAAAATATTCAACCTTATTAATAAAAGGAACACAAATATAAACCACAAGGAAAACAAGGGTCAAAGTTTACTATTGAGATTGGGCATGGCGGCTCATTCTTGTAATCCCAGCTACTTGGAGGATGGAGACTGGGAGGATGCTAGGCCAACCTGGGCAAAAAGTTTGCAAGACCCCATCTCAATAAGCTGGGCACAGTAGCAGCACACCTGTGTTCCTAGCTACTTGATAGTATCGTGGTCTAAGTCCAGGCCCTGGCAAAAATGGACTGTACCTGAAAAATAAGCAAAAAAGGGTGGAAGCATGGCTCAAGTGGTAAAGAAGCCCTAAAGTCCAAGCCACAGTACTGCCCTTCCCCTGCACACACCCTCAAAAGAAAAAAAAAAAGCCGGTGCCGGTGGCCACAACTGTCATCAAAGCTATGAGGGAGGCTGAGCTCGGAAGGATCATGGTTCAAGGTCAGCCTGAGCAAAAAGTTCACAAAACCCCAGCTCAACAGAAAACGCTGGATGTGGTGGCCTGTGCCTGTCACCCCAGTGATGGCAGTGAGTGCTTAATACAGGAGGATCATAGTCCAGGCTGACCTGGGCAAAGAGTAAGACCCTATTTCCAAAATAGCCAGACTACAAAGGGCTGAAGGTGAGGCTCAAGCCTGCCTACTAAAGTACAATGCCCTGAGTTCAAACCTGGTACAGATAAGACACATAGCTCAGTAAAATGCAAATTCAGAAAAGTGTTTATATACATACAGTCTTGTTTAAAAATGTGGAGTGATGTAAGCATTTGTGTGTTAGAGTATGTGCAGAACTATTCTGGGAGAATATTCTGGAAATTGGTAAGCAGTTGATTCTGGCGAAGAGAGGTGGGAGGGGAAGACAGGGAGACTTATTTTATAAACTGAAATCTTTTAAATTAAAAAAAATTAAAGTTTTACCTATTTTTAAAAAAAATCCAAAAGTCTAATTTAGAATCAATGCTCATTAAATATTTGAAAACTGTAAAGATTTTTCCCTATAATTAATCACATGCTTTGAGAATCAACTAGTCAAATGCTATTCAGAACCAAGTTAGACATTTCTGAAAGGGTGTATATGAAAATGTTTTTCAATCATACAATAATTTTAATTAAGTTATAAATAAGCAGAATTTGTGTTTTTAAAAGTTACACAATTCCAAGGATTTCTTGTTTAAAACAAAATGGGGTTGGTGGGGGGAGTCTGTGGTAGAGCATTTGTCCAGCAGGCACAAGGTCCTGAGTTCAGACCCCAGTACCATGAAAAAAAAAAACAGGGGACAGGGAGTCACTATCAAATCTTCCTAGAAATGTGTTAGAAGGCCGTTGGTGACAACAGTGAGACGGGATGAGCTTAAATTAAGAAGCAATACATCCATTTATTCATTAAATTAGGCAGCTTTATTTAGCTTTTAGAAAAATGTATACAATAATCAGAACCTCAGCTCTCTTAAATAGTTTTAAATTAAAAGTTTGCAAGTGAGAGTACATTTCCACAGTCAGAACATCAATACTGCGTAGTAAGTAGGCGACAGGAACCTGGGCAGTGGGTCCACTTACAGGGACAACTAGGGGCTGGATCAAGTGGCCAGCTAGATAGCAGTGAGAGGCCAGGCCTGCCCTTTCTCCTTCAGTCTGAACTTGAGAAAGACTTACACATCACCTGCCCTGGAGGCGGAAGCTATGAGCAAAGACATCTCACTGTAGGGGTGGGGGACCTAAGGCCGCCAGACCCAAAGCTTTGATCAAACCACAGCCACTGTTAACGGGATCTGGGTATGTTAGGGTCCCCTGTCAGTCACAGTTCAACTGGCAGTTGACAGAACAAAACTCAAGGGTCCAAGTATTTCTTAACATCATTTATTTTGGAACAGACTCCTGCTTTCTCCTGAACATTCTTCTGAATGAATTCACAGTATCCAACAGTGTTTGCAAAAAACATTTCAGTCTGGCAATCAGATCTCAGCTGTGAGGTAAGCAGAAGGTGGCAGAGGCCCTTCCTCCCGCTGCAGGCCCAAGGAGCACCTCTCCTGCCTGCCACCACTTCTGGGGCAAAATTTTCCAGGACCCACATTCTAATCAGTGTGCCACCAGAGGCCAGGTTGTCACAGGCCTCCAGGGAGCTTCTGCAAACTGGATTGCAGGTTGCCCCCGGCAGCCACCTCCTTCCCTCGCTGCCTGCAAACGCCAAGTCAGCAAAGCACTGAGCGAAGTCACGAGCAGCTCGATGGCAGCGGCTGAGCAGGAATCTGGCTAAGAGGAAGGGGACAGCGTGTGGTACTTGGCTCTCTGCTCGTCGATCTCCTGCTGAGTTTTCTTGATGCAGCTGAAGATCTCCTTGAACAGGGCTTTATATTCTGGAGGTGGAGCAGTAGTGGGGGACCCCAAGGGCTCTGGGGTGACAGGGGTGGGCTCAGGCTCAGCTAGAGAGCTCACTGTTGCCAGGTCCCTGGCCACAGCCCTGGAGGTCTGCACAGCCTTGTGGGACAGCGCGTCCTGCTCCTGCTGGCACCTCTGCAGCAGCTCTTCGTACTTCACCTTCAGGGCGCTGTACTGAGTGTCCACCTCGTGCAAAAGGGACACGCCCCTCTGCTTCACGGCCCTGGCCCTCCGGACACAGGTCTCCTCGTGGCCCTTCACAATGTCGCTCCCAGCCAAGGTGCTAAGGACTGTCTCGCTGCTGCTGCGTGTGAGTGGCTTGCGGGGGGCCTCGGGGACAGTCCAGGAACATCTCTTCCAGCAGGCTCTGGCTGGCCTCCTTGAAAGGCACAAACAGTGCATCAGGTGCCAGCCTCTCGGTTCCGTTCACAAAGGGATGCTCGGCCTGCAGCAGCTGCCGCATCTCAGCCACCTCAGCCTCCAGCTCCAACGCCCGTGCCCGGTAGGTGTCTGTGGCCCCCAGCTGCTGCTCCAGGTCGCTGTTCTCCTTGAGCACCAGCCCATACTCCTCCTCCATGGCCACCCGCTTCTGCCGCTCCAGGCTCAGTTGGGCCTGCAGCATGGCCACCGTCTTCTTCAGGTGCTCGTTTTCTTTTTCATCTGGGCTTTGCTGGCTCTGCAAGGAGGTGATCTTCTCGGCGAACACGTGGTCATACACAAAGTGTCTAGGGGAACACAAAGGAGACAAATCACACAGGGCAAGCAGATGCGAAGGAGGCTTTCAGAAGAGCGCTTAGCACAGCCACACCACAGCAGTGACTAAAATGCAATGTGCAAGGCTGCTAATAAATGCGTAGAAACAAACATGCTGTGACAATCTCTTTTAAACATCCAAAGTACTTCAGAACATTCATTACCAAAGCCCAGCAGCAGAACTGCTGGCATCCCAGGCCATCTTCCGAGAGCAGCTCTCACCCACAATCCTTAGCTCAGTGGTCTGCTACCTGGACCTGGGAGTTTTCAAAGAGTGACTCCTAACATGTACCCAAGATTAAGAACCATGGTCATTAGGGCTTTTAACCAGGAATGCATATCACCTGGCCAGGTTTGCCCATACCCAGAAATCCTGACTGAGGCCCGAGGGAAGGCTAGCATTAGTATCTGCGCTTTGGCAAATACCACAGGTGATGTGGTGTCCAGGCAAGGTGAGAAGCATAGCACAAAGGAGCTAGCTGCTCTCCTGTCCAGTCTTAGGCAACCTGTAGCTGTATTTATTTACTGATGTGACTGCTGTCTATCTGCCTCTCCATTAGAATGAAAGGTCATAAAGGCAGGATTGTTCTGGTCACCATTCCTCACGGTTGGCACAGCACTGCAGTACAGCAGGCGTTTGATACGTATTTTCATCTGTTGCAGGTGTTTATTCTTCCAGCAGGAGGATCCTCAGTCCCAACAGCCTGGGCCTTGGGGCAGGGGAGGAGGTGGTTAGGGCCCCCTGGGGCCCCCCACAGGGTAGTAGAACTGGTCTAGGTCCTAAATGTTTCCTAAAGATTCAAACTCTCAACTCTAAATTATAAAGGCATTTCTTTTGGCAAAACCACTTCTGTTTGCCTGGATCTTTGTTTAACTGAAATCTCTCCTTCACACTAGTGTGGAATCCAATAGTGAATCTGTATTCTGCAAAAAGATTTCTAATTGAAAACCAAGACTAAGCAACTAAAGCAATGATGTAATTGCCCTAAGGCCTCTCCTAGATGAGTCTCACAGAACTCCTAAGACCAAGGGACACTGGTAGGTTACCAGGCAGGTGCACTTCCTAAAATGGTACTGGGAACCTACAGGAAGCCAGAAGGTGTCAACAACCCGACATTCCCAGCTCTTACTGGCGGAGGTCATACAGCTCCTTCAGACAGGAGAAGCTGGGCGCTGGCTTCTCCTGGTCACAGGTCCCCCGTCTCCTCTTCCCTTGGTCACATGACTTCAGCTCCTCCACTTGGCTCTGGAGGTGATCAATGTTTGTTTGTAGGCATTCAATCGTTTCGGTCAGGCTGTGAGGAACAGACAGAAGCCGACTGCTGCTTGTCACAGTAAATTAAGGACAAAAGCAGTGAGGGGGGATTAGCTGCAGCCGCTCAAGCCAGGCTTTCTTAATTGGAAAGGACTTACATTTAATCTCTGTTCTCCAAAAAGTATTAAATTAAACCTTACTGCACACTGACCCAAACCCTTACGTCCACATTCTTTTCCCAGTTATACCAGATAAGCCCCTTCCTAGGGTTTCCATGAGATTCCAGAAATTTTACCTGAGGATTTTTTGCTGTGAGGCCTTGCTGTCAGCAACCAGCTTTTGGTTTGTTTCTTCCAGTTCCCTCGCTGTGACATCTAACTGCTCATAAACTTTTGCGTGCTGTTCGTTCATTTGCCGCAGAAGCTCCACCTGCTTGGTCAGATACTGTAAGAGAACATTGCAACTTGTGACTCGAACAGAAAAGATACCTGCACATCTCAACCCTAATTCTCTGGTTCCCCACCACCAACTGGTGTGGATTGAGGGCCCGTTCCTGGCATGGTGCAATATTTGCCAATCCAAAACCTCCCCATAGCCTTGTTTGAGAATTGTATCAAAAAATTTTACTACGAACTGGGGATGAAGTGCACAACTGTAATCCCAGCTACTGAGAAGGCAGAGATCAGGAGGATCCCAAGTTTGAGGCCAGCCTGGACAAAAATACAAGACGCTACCTGCAAAATACAACAAAAAAGGGCTGGCAGGGTAGCTTGAAGAGTAAAGCGCCTGCTTAGCAAGTGTGAGCTGAGTTCAAACCCCAGTGCCTCCAACAAAACAAAAACTCCAAGCCTGTGTTAGTGGAAAAGGAGCACAAGCCATCCTTGATAAGCTCAGCACCTCAATCTTTCCAATTCTCCTGGGTACTTCGAGGCTGTCTAATTTTACAAAGCATTTAACATGCATAAAATTAATATTCAAAAGAAAAACCTGGGGAGGAAGGGGGGATGAGAGGAAAGGGAGACTGACTATGATCAAAGTACATTATTTTAAAAAAGGAAAACCTAAGGTGAGCTGTCATATTCCTTCAAGAGAAGAAGCTTGGAAAACATGATCGAAGTCTAAGCAAAATACACCATGTTTAACAGAAATAAGAAAGCCTAAAGTAGAGGATTTTAGATGATTTTCACTTGAAAAAAATCAATATTTTTTGAGGCATTCTGTTCTCTCTGAGAACATTATCCCCATCATCCTTCTTAATTGCAAGAAGCTTATCAGATTATTTGTTTTGGTCCTGCTGAGACTGCTCTCTGAAGGCCAAGGACAAAGGGAAGGAGCCAGACTAAATGCCACAGTGTTAGGTGGCCTGATTCCCTGCCCACTCCATTCCACCTGAAGACACCAGCACATGGCCCACATCCCAAATAAAAGCCATGTTTCTCAGGAGATAACCACAGAGGAAAGAGGAGGTTTGAAATACCACTGCTGATCCCACCGTAGGCGCCTGAGGATCTGCTTTTTCTGAAAACACTTGTTTTGAGGCATTCACACAACCCATCAGGTACTTGTGGGGCCAGTGGACTCCTATGTAGTCCCATTCTCCATTCTTGTGTCTCAGCCTCCCGAGTGCTGGGATTATAGGCATAAACTACTGCCCGATTTCAAGAGACTTTCTAAGAACCTGGCTAAACAATACTCAATGGACTTATTTAAAGTGCTGTAAAAAGCATCTATGGCCTTTTTTTTTTTAATCTAGTCACACAGCTTGGTGGCAATTTGTTGAGCAAACACTTAACGTTTCCTTAACATCAACTTTCTCATCTCTCTTGGAGTCCAGCATGTTTTGGAAAATTCTTTGAATTTTAGAAAAGCATGCTATTCATACCTTAGCCTTTATAACATCTCTGTGAGGTCTGGGCAGGACCCCGTGATGGAGCATTAATATTTGCCAGATATGGTGGTGCACGGTCCTCTTGCCTCAAGCCTCTGAATGCTGGCAGAAGGCAGTGGTACTGGAGCTCAGCACAGGCTATGGGGTCAGGACCTGAAGACCCACTTTGTCATTTATGACTAGACAGCCTTCGGCAAGCAGCCTGGCTTTTCTGAGGGTTCCTCAGTATGCGTAGTGCTGTAAAGATTCAAATGCATGTTGGAGAGGCCAGAATGTGTCACCCCAAAATATGTCTGTCCGGCATAAGCACTGCCCAACTGAAGGCAGCTGAGAAAGCTCTGCCCTCTACATTCCTAAACACAGGATGCAGATTGACCAAGACCCGGGCACCAGCCTCTCCCTCTCCCACACAGAACAGGGGTTATCGACGGAGAACAGCTAGACTCTTGGGCCAGAAGCCAGCGTCCCAGTAATCCACATTAACAAGCTTAACCAGCCTTGATCTGCCACTGATTAGCCTCCTGGTAATTTGCTGCCCCTAGAGACTCAAAGTTCTTTTCCTTTGTCTTGTCATTTCTCTAAGAAAGTAAATTCTTACTGTTCTTTAGGCATGTTGGGGCATGCTCGTGATCCTAGCACTCGGGAGACTGAGGCAGGGGAATCACGGGTTGGAGGCCAGCCTGGACCTTGTCTCAAAAAAGAATTTACTGTTGTTTGTTAACTGCTGTATGAGAGGGAATGTGAAGCCACCTTTGGAGATGACTCTTTTGGGTACCTCCTGGGTACATAACAGGGAAGATACATGTAAATGAACTGCCCTGCTGTTCTTTTGTTAACTGTCTTTGTTACGGGGTCCATTCTAAAAAGAAACTCAGGAAGGCTGAGGAAAAATTATTTCTCTTTCTCCACACATACAAATATATGAATTTACAATATAAAGGTTAGTACATGTAGAATCCAGCGTTTGGTGTCAGTGCTCAGTAAGGGTAGCTACTGTCAGCTTTACTCAGTTACAGAGTTCTAAGTGTGCTAAACTAGATTCACCTGGAAGACTTACTTAAAGCGTAGGACCTGGGAGTCTTCCTCCCAAACGCGGACTCAGTGACACTGGGACAGAGCCAGGATTTTGCAATTTCAGTAGAATCTCAGGTAGCATTAGAATATGTAGACCACGAATCACACTCAGTACAAATATGCTCCCTTGGGACATGAAGTTCCCCTACTGTGACTATCTTTTTTCTCTGGGGTCTAGCATTCACTGGAAAAACTCTGACTTCCCTCTTTCCCTCCCTCCCTCCTTTCCCAGGTTGTATGCTAGGCAAGCCCTCGAACACTGTGCTGTATCCCTGGCCCAAAACTGACTTTTTTTGGTGGTACTCAGGGCCTCATAATTGCTAGACAATTATGAATCATGCCCCCAACGCTTTTTGCTTTATTGTTCAGACAGTGTTTTTGCCTGGGCCAGCCTTGGCCCACAATGCCCCTCCCCACACCTCCTGCTAACCCTGATGACTCTTAAGCTCAAATGCTGACCACTTCCCTCCTTAGCATGGTTGAGTCAGTCATTAAAATACGGTTACAGTTTAACTGTATCACCATTATATTTTGATCTGTTTTTACACGCCTCGGTTCCCTGAAATTACAAACGAGTTACCTACCTTAATTTGGAATGTTCCTTCCTAACTTCTTGGTGCACCCAAATACTGACTTTCCCAGAGTGCTAAATCTTAACCCCTCCATTTAAAAACTTTCTATTATGGAGACTTTCAAAGTGAAGGGAAAAAGGTTTAATAAACTCTCATATGCCCATCACCCAGTTTTAACAACTGCCAACACAGCCAACCTTGTTTCATCTCTGTTTCATCTCATCCTCAGTCATGTTAAAGCAAATCCAAGGCATCTTAGTTCAAGTGCACATCTGTACATGTTTTTAAGAGATGACCTTTCATGTTAGCATAAGCACAGTTCCTAAGGAGAAAAAGCAATAACTGTGTCATGGCTTTCGATCGCATCAATGGTTGCCCTGCGTGTCGTTTCCAGCTTCATCTTCAGCTATCCACTCCACCTCACACTTCCGAGGTGCCCTCCAAGGCAAGCTCCTCCCTCCCTTAGGGCCTTTGCTCCATACTCCCGCTCCCAGCCTGGGAGGATCTAGGAGAAGCTACTGTGCTAATTCCTAACTGAACTGCAGCATTTCTTTCAGTTCTGGACGGAAGCACGAACCACTCCTAGTGGGATATGTGTCCGTCAATAGAATCAGCTCTTCACGGCACTCTGTAGTAGGTGCGGAAATCGTAGCTTACTGTTCACATTTGTCACTATTTGAAAACACGGCAGTTTTTAAAATGCCATAAGAGCTTGGTATTTAGTATGTTAATAAATGTCTATATTACAGTACCACAATTTATTTTTCAGTATTTGGTGAGCATTTAGATATAACAGATTTATAATTCTTTGGTAATTCAAAGAATTATTTTAAGGCAGGTTCTTGTTAGGTAGCTCAGGCTGGCCTGGAACTCACAATCCTCCTGCATCAATCAGCCTCCCGAGAGCTGGGATTACAGGTGTGTACCCCTATACCTGGTCCTGTAATTCACTGTATTTAAAAAGGTCACCGTAGACCTCACTAGATAGCCAACAGGATGAGTGGCCCGCAGAAAGGTTGAAAGCTTAGGTTGTCCCCTAGGCCTCATTTCAAACATGAGCTCCTCCTCCTCGGAACCCAGGCTGCTCATGACCTCCTTCAAGACAGCACACTAAGAATCATGTGAGGTGTGTGTGTGCTATTGTCACCCTCTTTCCGAGGAGGAGAGCCTCTTGTACATCTATCTGGCCCATCTTTACACATAGTAGGGACTACACTTTATTGGTGAAATGGCAAATTTCTTGATTTCTACACAAAAGCTACTTGTGCTTAGCACCACAACTTAGACTGTGAAATGTCAAGAGAGGTTTAACTGTAGGGCTGTGAGGTGGACGTTGGTCATGGCCCTCTTGGGGACCGTCACAAAATTTTCTCACCACTTCCTCTTACAGATGATTTCTCTTTATTCTTAGGGCACCACTATCCCCTGTAATCTGAAGGGGAGACATTTATAATTCCTACCACCCATTATATAGGTCCCAAGTTGTTGCCACTTTTTAAAAATATAATGTTAAATTAGGGTTGTGGCCAGCATCCCGGGAATAAGTCAATATGCAAGTAAGTACAAAGAATCCATTAAAAAGTTACAGAAAGTGCCATTTGTTTGGTAGATAGAAACCTGTGATAAAAACACAAAGAAAGCATTAAGAACTTGTGATATTTTGGTCATGGAGGAACTGGCCTTTGAGGAATATTTAAAGCATGGCAAGGAGCTTGTTTCTACAAGGTGGGGGTTTAATCTTATTACATTAAACTAAAATTAATCACAAAAGCCCTTCACTTCTCAGTTATACATTACCACCAAGGAGTGTAACATGAGCAATTTAAGACAAGTGCCAGATCTCTAAGCAAGTTCTGAAGTAAGGAAGGCAGTGAACTCTACCCAGTCAGACGCTGTGCTCTGGACTGGGC